GGCACTACAGTTTGTGAAACAGGGTTTTGTTAATGTTCTGGATGTCTTTCAGTGTCTCTGCCAAACAGCCATATTAAATGTCACAACTTAATCTTGCAAAACAAACAAGTTTTTAACCATTTAATTTTAACTTAAAATCATTCAAATATTTTGGCATGAACTTAGTTAAGAACAAACATTCACTCATTTACTCATCAATGCTGTCACTATGTTTATCTTCTATAGGCCATGCTGTCACAAAATCAAACTCTGGCAACTGTCTAAATTGACAAGCTCAACAGAGACTCGAAAGTAATTGTGAGTGACAAAAACATCCTCTTCAGCTTCATATGTCAAGCCATTTCAGAAATATAAAATGAAATATTCTGTATGGCCTTCACAGAGTCTAAGCAGTATTTTTTCAGTTGTTTTTTTCTTCAAATCGACAATGTTATTATCAATATGGCCACCAAGCTGCTACATTGCTAATCTACAGCAAGGTAACCGGTGTGAAATGAAGGCAGTGCCTCCAGTTTCCATAGTTTTTCAGAATGCAGATGTCAAAAATGTTTTCCAACACTAAGACATTTATGTCAAACACATCTTATTTCTTTTGGAGTTTTAGAAGAAGCTAAACTATTACCTTCAAAATAACTACATCATTTACATGATGGATGTTTTCCATTTATCAGAGGCCTGCCCTGTGAAGTAACGAGCATGGTCTCTGGCAGTCTGGATACAAATACAAATACAATGCATGATTTGGAGGTGATCTGAAATAGGGATTAACACTGCGACCAAGTTTACTGCACTAATATAGCAGTGTGCATGCACATGCATGTGTGTCTGCTTGTACTAGTCCAGACTAATGCCTATTTTATAGTAAGATTCCATGTCACAGTTTAACATGAATACCCCCCTCACACAGTATACTGAAGCTGAGTCGACCAGTCCTTGTTTAGCCCCTTAACGACGAGTGCCAGGCAGGGTAACAACAAGTACCATATATTACCGTCTTTTGGTATGACAAAGCCAGGATTGAACCCCTGGGACCCCCACTTTTTAACATTGGCTCCTACAGAAGAAGGCTTTGAGTCTCTGGGACACTCACTTTTTAACATTAGCTCCTACAGAAGAAGGCTTTGAGTCCCTGGGACCCCCACTTTTTAACATTGGCTCCTACAGAAGAAGGCTTCGAGTCCCTGGGACCCCCACTTTTTAACATTGGCTCCTACAGAAGAAGGCTTCGAGTCCCTGGGACCCCCACTTTTTAACATTGGCTCCTACAGAAGAAGGCTGGGACCCCCACTTTTTAACATTGGCCCCAACAGTTGAAGGCTTCGATTCCCTGGGACCCATACTTTTTAACATTAGCTCCTACAGTTGAAGGCTTCGATTCCCCGGGACCCCTACTTTTTAACATTAGCTCCTACAGTTGAAGGCTTCGATTCCCTGGGACCCCTACTTTTTAACATTGGCCCCAACAGTTGAAGGCTTCAAGTCCCTGGGACCCACACTTTTTAACATTGGCTCCTACAGAAGAAGGCTGGGACCCCACTTTTTAACATTAGCTCCTACAGTTGAAGGCTTCGATTCCCTGGGACCCATACTTTTTAACATTGGCCCCAACAGTTGAAGGCTTTGATTCTCTGGGACCCCCACTTTTTAACATTGGCTCCTACAGTTGAAGGCTTCAAGTCCCTGGGACCCCAAAAATGAATAACCCAGGTAAAACCCTTGCCGTACATGAGTGGACCAGTGAAGATTAGCTCCTACAGTTGAAGGCTTCGATTCCCTGGGACCCATACTTTTTAACATTGGCCCCAACAGTTGAAGGCTTTGATTCTCTGGGACCCCCACTTTTTAACATTGGCTCCTACAGTTGAAGGCTTCAAGTCCCTGGGACCCCAAAAATTAATAACCCAGGTAAAACCCTTGCCGTACATGAGTGGACCGGTGAAGATAGGCAACTATGCTTGTCATAAGAGGCGACTTACGGGATCGGGTGGTCAGGCTTGCTGACTTGGTTGAAGCATGTCATCGATCCCAATTGCGTGGATCAATGCTCATGATGTCAATCACTGGATTGTTTGGTCCAGACTCGATTATTTACAGACCGCCGTCATATAGCTGGACTATTGCTGAGTGCGACGTAAAACAACCAACCAACCAACCGTACATGAGTGTAATGTTATTGGATGTCTGTTTCTGGTGTTGAACCAGAAGCTGGGGAGTGAATGAGTATTCACCATAACAGAATTGAGATATAATACTCAGCAAAATCAAGCATGAAGCAGTCTGCACATGGTGAACCAGTCCAGTTGAGGTTGACTATCAAATCATATATCCAAAACCTATGAGGAATTTTATGCTTTCCTAGTACAGCTTTACCTGCAATTTCAAACAGAACTACTATGTATTACTTCCCACTAAACCGACAGGCCCAACTTTATACCAAATAAAATAGAAACAAATATATGAGACAAACTAAAAGTGTGGCTTTACTTCTTACTAGAGTAATGGCACTGAAATGAAGTTGACAATGGATGGATAGAAGATGACGGTCATCATTTGGGATGAATCACTTATTCAGGCAAGCTACAAAGTATTCTGGTGGCCAAGCATCTTAGCACATAATCAAAATGAAACAGTTGTCTTTATCATGACCATTTCAGCCCAACAAGGAAAGGTTGTCACCGAGTGTTACAAGAGTTATCTACCTTGACATCAGGAAATGATTTTACATGCACTTCTAATAATGAAGAACGTCTGAAACAGTACCATTGCACTAAACAATAACATACTCAAACCAAAGTAAATTATTACTTGTTAGGTTATACTTGAAACAATTTCTATGTCACCAAATTTATGTGACTGTCTTATTTTCCCCCAAGAATATTTTGATTTTGAATAGGATCAGGTGTCAGGCCTGATATCATATACACAATCATACAGCTTCATCAACCAAGAGGTTTATGAGGACATGTCCTTAACATTTGTGAAAAATCAAAGCAGAATTGCTTAACTTTTTGTAGTAAAAAAAACCACAAACATACATTTCATTTGGTATTCTACATACCACATACTAACTGCATATGAAATTTTAGAGGTTGATGAAAATGACCTAAAACTAGAAAAACAGTTTGGGCTATGAAAAGGTCAATGGTTGAAGCTGTATCCAATCTCACAATGTGCAACAAAGCAAACTTACTGCATATGACAAATCATAATACATGAAGAAACGGCAGAGAATGGACTAACACTAGATTTCCAATATGGCTGCCATTTTTAAGATCCGATCACATTTCTGTGATACAATTAGTACCATCATCCAAACAAGCCTTCAGCTTCACATTGGCCTTGTGATTGCAGAGATGGTAAAACATTACAGCCAACAACTACCAGATATATGGAAGGATAAAGGACTAAGTGCCATGCCGAAAGAGTACAGTTCAGGTGAGCCTAAAGGCTATTCAGTAAAGAAATGTTCGGACATTAGGAGTGGAAAAGTGTTTTATTAATCTTTGTGGGTAAAACAGCAGTTTGGTGGTTGTTAAGGTTTTGTCATAGTTTCCATGGGGGATGGAATGGAAAGAATCAGAGGAACCATGTCTACAATCAGCCATAATACACAACAGGTGAAGGTGAAAGTCATGTAGAAAACGGACAGCAATAGTAAGAATATTGGTAACATTTTTGGTTTTATTAATAAATATGCCAACTGTATCATGTCTATTATGACTGTTCTTGTCTGTAATTACTACTAGTTTCATTTTTAAAGGTGCTTGTCATAAGAGGCGACTATCGGGATCATGAGGTCAGAATTGCTGACTTGGTTGATCAATGCATGTCATCGTATCCAACTGCGAGGATCGATGCTCATGATGTCAATCACTTGTCAATTGTTAAAATGTTTTTGTTTGTTGTTTAACTCCGCACTCAGCAATGTTCCAGCTATATGACGGCGGTCTGTAAATAATCAAGTCTGGACCAGACAATCCAGTGATTGACATCATGAGCATCGATCCACACAATTGGGATTGATGACATGCATCAACCAAGTCAGCTAGTCTGATCACTCGATCCTGTAAGTCGCCTTTTACGACAAGTATAGTCACTTTTTAAGGCAAGTATGGGTTGCTGAAGACGTATTCTACTCGGATGTTTACAGGTCACCCAGGTATTAAATTTGTACCAATCCCAGCCCTAGTGTGTTATCTTCTTTCAACTTATTTTTCATGATTGAAAAAAACCATATGCCCATTTCAGTCCTACCAATTAAAAAGGCATGCTTCATGTGAATCACATCTGTCTGAGAGTTTTATAAAAACAAAATACCTCATGCCTCACATTTAAAAAAAAAAATGATTAAATTTAAAATCTAATAATTAATTTGTGGCCTTAATGAATTTGAATTATTACTGGTATTAAAATGATGTTAATTTTAAATTACAAAACTAAAGTTTTAAACTGATATTGCTCCAATACAAAATAATCCCCATTTGTCACTATGATTATCTCTGCAGCAGAAAATCAATAAGCTGGTTCTCACAAATCACTGGCCAACTTACACTCATTTCCTTATCATGAATGCAATTTGCTTACGTTGTCAGGCACCTCAGCAAAATCGTTAATCTATACTAATATACAGCTCTATCAAATGCAATACACGATCTGAGCGCCACGCGGCGGTACAATACAAAAGTACAGCCGATAGTACCAGTAACCAGTTGTAATTGAGACATGACTAGCGCTTGCGAATTTCTACTTCTCACTCCTCCTGGTCGCAGCAATCTCTGACCGAGCAGGTGCGTGTCGGACCTTCTCACGACCCTGCAACTACTCGAAGAAATATAGTCCCATTGGAAGTCACACTGCGTCGCGTTACGATTTTAGTACAAGGTGTATTCTTTTATGGAATGCATTAAATGTGTTTCAAATGAACGTTTTGTGTACATGTCAAGGCTTTTGCAGATCGGTAACTATTTCCTACGCGACGTTGCTATTTGTATATTCATCCGCTAAAATAGAAGGAAGGACTAATACCATCAGTCTATCCATCGTAAAAATGTAAGTCTCGGTCATTTGGTGTGGGTTTTCTGGTCAAATGTAGAACTCAAATACTGTTGTCGACGTATGTGAAGCAAATAATTCTACAATAGGTGTTGTTATTTCATAAGTAGCGCAGAACGCGACAAAATATGTTTTCTTCCTTGAGTACTGCTCAACGCATATCTAGGCCACATCGTTTCCCTGTCTCGATTTCCACCTCGTATAATGCTTGGCAATCTCCCTTCACAACGCCCCATGTACGAGCGAGTTGTGAATGTTTGGACCCCCTGTCGCGTTTATTGTACAACGTCGTGATATTGATACGTGTTCGACCGAAGTGAAACTATAACCATTCGTCCTTTAGCATTGTTTCTTCTTTCCATCCGCCATGTTTTCTTATTGCTCTGAAGGGGGCGTGGCAAGTTGTGCATTGTATTAATAGCAGATCTATTTTTATTAATTTGTCAGTATAAAATGCAACATATACATGATATATAAGCATAAACAAAGTTAGTTTCAATTAATGTTAAAAATAATGTGTTAGATATGTCAAGCATATGCCCATTGATCACAAAAGAAGAAGGCGACTATGCTTGTCGTAAAAGGCGACTAACGGGATCGTTGGGTCAGGCTTACTGATTTGGTTGATGCATGTCATCGTTTCCCAATTGCATGGATCAATGCTCATGATGTCAATCTCTGGATTGTCTGGTCCAGACTCAATTATTTACAGACCGCCATCATATAGCTGAATATTGCTGAGTGCGGCGTTAAACAAAAAACAAAAGAAAATCATAAATTTACAATTGTTTGACAATGAGTCTAAGGAGTTCAACATTTGGAAAAAAATTAGATAGATAGAAAGATAGATAGATAGATAGATAGATAGATAGATAGATAAAATTTATACTTTTATACTGAAGTCAAAGTGAACTCTAACATAGTATGATGTTGTAGTGCAATCTAAGAGGGTCCTGATGGGTTTTAATGCTTAACGTAAAACACCCTTCAAACACTATCGTAAACGTAAAATTCATCTTTTTTTATCGTAAATGCTTATCGTAAAATACCCAAAAATAACTGCTTAACGTAAATAAATAATTTACTGCTTATCGTAAAATTATTAAAATGGTCAAAAACAGTCTGTCTTCAAGACCCAAATGCTTCGCCACAGAAAGCAGGCTGCACAACTGACGCAGGGGACTAGTCTAGAATGTTTAGTGATTTGAGATTTTACCCGGTATTAAAAATATGAATTGTCAGGATGAAACCAAAAGCAGAATTAACAGTCCCATGTCCGGCCATGGCTGATTTAGGAATTTTTCCCGACGATTTTATTGAAAAAGAAGAAAAATTACTGCTTAATGAAAAAGTACCTTAAATTTTACTGCTTACTGCTTATGGGACCCATCCATCAGGACCCTCATCTCACATTGTGACGTCACAGTAAGACGCATAACATTGTGTGGGGCAGGCATACAACACAAATAGAAATACAGGAATAAGTATTGTAATGGCAGGAAAATGTGCAATAATTGTATAAAATATCTCAATTATTTGAGGCCATTTAGTTTTGGTTTGAAAGTATGAATAAAATAACTTCCTTAGATTAAATTAAGAAATTAAATTATTAGACTGTGAGATTGCTAAAGCTGGTGTTACAGTCTTGAATTAATATTGAAATGATACTTTTTGAAAAGAAAATTAGGCAGACAATTATTCCTTTTGCTAAAAATGAGGGCAAAGTTAATTTATATAGTCGTTTCTAGTGCTAATTATGCAAGTTTAAGGACAATGTAAACATTTCCAGGTATTTGTACTTTTCAGAATATGATGTTTGTTTCTAATACCTGTTTAGGAATTTTGTAAATATTGTCAGCACTGCTTCAATAAATAGGTTTTTTTTAAATGAGGTGTTGTAGATGTAGAAAGATAAACAGGAAAAATCAAAACACACACAATATATAATCATGATAATAATATACAATACCAATTACATTTATCAGTAATAGAATCTCTCTATTTCTATTCTCGTTTTTGTTTAATGGGAAGCCTTTTGGGAATGTTAAACCACTCAAATATATTGGAATTTCGGGATGTTGATCATGTTTGTGAGGCTGCAATTTTGACCATGTTGACAAAGTGACCCGTTTTATATAATCATACTCCAGAGTAAACCCACACAAAATATATTGTGTAGAAATGTATAGTATCAGTTATAAGTAATTTCCTACCAAAAATATCAAACAAAAACTTGAAAACTTTAAAGTGTAGAGAGTTTAGGATCAAGTTTCCAGCTAACATTAATCAGTAACTTGAATGGTAAAATTAAGAAGTGTAGGCATTTCCAATCTCATTAAAACCAAAATCGTAGTTCCTGCTACAAAGCGGTAGTTGTGTATATATATCACAAAGAAAAGTGGATTGAGTGAAAATTAATCAACAGGTGTGGTGAGTTTTAAAGTAAATGTGGAACAAATTGGCAATCAGTACTTGAATAAAAAAATGTATATTCTTCACCTGTAGTTGGAATCTGGTAGGAAATGAAATCATGCTGTAGCCATAGATTCAACGACAACAACATTTGAACTTACATGACATATTGAAAATTCTGACCTTTCTTGTGAAATATGGTAGCCTTTAGTTTATTTCAGTATATGTCTTTGTAAAGCTGACTCATATATGTGATAACCTCATATAAATTATAAATTGCTTTAATAATTGAAATAAGTTTGTTTTTATGCAGGATCAAAATGGATGCACCCTAGCAATGGAAAATATACCTTCTGCTTTCTCCTATGGGTCTGAAGAAGTAGGCAGCATGGAATTCCCCAACTCCCAGCCAGTCAGTGTGGATCCATCGGTCCATGGGACCCCAAACCTGATTGCTGGTGTGCAGTACACATCCATGGGACCTGGAGTCCAGAGGGATACTATATGCGCCACACAAGGAAATATGGCATTACAGAGGGCAAATGCATTTGATCTGCCCCATTTGCAGCTTCAATACCACCAAGCAATGTCCATGCCAGCTTTCCCCAACTTCCCAGGAGGAACATTTAACCAGATAGTTTCTCCAAGACCTCAAATGACTCCCACCAATCTCCCAGCAATGGCTGGCTTTACAGATCCAGCCCAATTCATTCCACAAGCAGTTCTTACACAACAGCGGTCAGGGCCCCTGCCAGATAAGATGGACACACTTCCAAGCTTTAGTTCAATAGTGTCCTCAGCAGCCACCAGTCTGTCCACCATGAACATGCACCCACAGCTGATGAGCAGCAACAAAGAAGCACCTCTGACTGCTGCTCACATGTTTGCTGCTCAAAGCAAGATGCCTGTTACCACATCTCATTCCTCCCAACCCTTGTCAGATCCAGCAGATTCTCAGGTACAACAAGTATTCTTTACATGTCCACAACCAAATACTCAGCTTTCACTCAATCAGCAGCAACGGCAGCAGAAACCTGCAGAGTTTCTGCCCCGAGGTCAATCACCAGCTGTACAGCATGATATAAGCTCCTCCACATCTGCACAGTCGGCGGGTTCCCAGTATCGGCCAACACAAGCTTGTTTCGATGCATCTCCTGATACTGATGCAGCGAACACTGGCTTCTTTATCCAGTCTGAATCTGCAGCAGGGCAAGTTCACAGTGTTCCCCCCAAACCAGCAGTCTCATCCTTGCCAAATAGTAGAGGGACCCTGTCCTTCACAGCTGCTGGACTGGTTCCTGTTAATCGGTCTGCTTTTGAACAAGCAGCCAACTCGGAGCATTCAAACGCTAGTTCTGTTCTCCAAGACACCAGTTGCAGCAATGGCCATGATAGATCACCTTTGCCAACTGATGATGAAACTGATGGAGAGAAGTATTCAGAAACAGCCATGTTTACGGAGTCATTGACTCCCCATTCCTCAAATGATACTCAAGGTAAAATTCATATATCCAAACCCTCACTCAAACATACCATTAAAAAGTGTCCCTCCAGAGTCTCACGGGAGAGAGCAGCTGTTTGTAAACCTAAATCCATTCCTGATACCCCTTCGCCCCATACAGTTCGATTCTTTTTGCTAGGCAGATTTGGTGATCAGTCACCATGGGCACATCAGACAGAATGCAATGTGTATGATACCAGTGACAATATTGACTTTGATGATTGTTTAAATTTTGGTAACATGACTGAGCTTCAAGATGACAACCGCAATACTACAGGTGAAGCCAAAGAAACATTACAGTGTGATGGAAGACAACATTCTGGCTTGACTGAGGATACGGAAGCAAGGCAGGAGACACCACCTTACAGGAACAGAGTGTCTCAGAACAAAGTTGGCATTCCATCAACGTCTGAAACGATCTCTGCTAGCCAGGAAGGCAGCCTTCTCTCACCAACTGGTAGCTCTGGTTCTGATGGCATGCCAGATGAAGACGCTCCCTCAGCTGATGTGTCTGCAGGTGAAAGTGCTGACAGAGGAAAACCACAGGAGTCCGAGACTGATGAGGAGGATAATGGCCCTGTGTTTCCGGGGATGGAGAAGTGTTCATCAGGTGCCATCAATCCAAGAGCGTTCTTTCAGGTTCAGCCCGACCTTGAAGACATTCCATACTTCGATTATGTTGACAAGGAAGCAGAAATGAAGCGTAAAATGTGGCAAGCCAAGAAAGAGCAACTTGAAATGGAAAGGATGGATGTGCATGTGAAGATTGACGACTCCCAGTGTATCACTGTTGGTGATCAAAAACGGTGGCAGTGTCACAAATGTCCCAAGAACTATACGACCAAACATAATCTTGTTACTCATATCCTTGATCACAGGGGTATTAAACCCCATCTGTGCATGGTGTGTGGCAAATATTTCAAACAGCTGAGCCACCTCAATACTCACATGTTGACTCATGACAACATCAAACCTCACGTGTGCTCACTCTGTGGCAAGGGCTTCACCCAGGTGAGCCATCTGAAGAGACATCAAGCTGTCCACTTGGACAACAAACCCTACATCTGTGATATCTGCAATCGCGGCTTCGCTTACCCCAGTGAGCTGCGGGTCCATAAGGAGAAGCACATCCCGGGGAGGGACAAGTGTGTGGACTGTGGGGAGGACTTCTCCAGCCCCAAGCTGCTCAAGCAGCACCAGGCCACCCACGAGCAGAGGGAAGAACTCACTTGTTCACAGTGCAATCGGATGTTTCGCTATCCTAGTCAGCTGAGGGACCACATGGTTACTCATTCCGGGACACGCCCCTACATCTGCACCGAGTGTGGCATGGACTTCATGAAGGTTGGTAACTTCACACGAATCAGTGCCTTGGTACTTTAGTGATTCTTTACAGCCCTGTTGTCTTAATGTAAGTTGATCATGTTGATGCAGTTTGTATTCTTACCTGTATCAAAAATATTTGTTAAGTATACTCAGCTAAGACCTTGTCCAAGTGAAATATAAGATCAATCTGCTCATTACATTTTGAAAGTTCTGTAATGGAGAAATCACTTGAATCAGGTGATTCTGGATTTAGAATCAACGAGTCTCAAGGGGCCAAGTTGATTCTGCTTCATGAGTCAACAGATTCAAGTGATTTCTTAAACCGGGGGCACAGGGTTGCGTCCATTGGGCAGGCCAGAAACCTATGTTTGTGGGCTCGCTCACTCACTCCAGCTTAAACCATGTTATGGTCGATATATGATTCTCTATAATTTTGCATGATGACCTGCAGTTGCGTCTACTTGTTTAAACTTTGTTCACAATGGTCAGTGAATTGCTGGCTCAGAATCAACTGCAACAACAACAGCATGACGTGATGGTTTGGGTTTATTATTCAGTGATTTACACTCTTATCCCTACACTTGTAGAGAAAGGAGTATCAAGCCGTTGCCAGCTTCTGGGGCTGCACACCCAGTTCCATTTTGTCAAGAGAATTTCACTGAGCAAGCTTAGAGCATAATCATAGGAACTTTATATGATTAGTGTATTCATTTATTTGAACATTTAAATATGTTATTATAGATTTCAATGTGCTCCCTGTATGTCAGTGGCCCTACCACCTCAAGATCGGTATGTTCACCCAGTAAAATGGTTGTCCTACCATCTCAAGGTCAGTACATTCACCCCTGTGAAATGTTTCCTCAGGACCGCCACCTCAAGGTCGGTATGTTCACCCAGTAAAATGGTTGTCCTACCATCTCAAGGTCAGTACATTCACCCCTGTGAAATGTTTCCTCAGGACCGCCACCTCAAGGTCGGTATGTTCACCCAGTAAAATGGTTGTCCTACCATCTCAAGGTCAGTACATTCACCCCTGTGAAATGTTTCCTCAGGACCGCCACCTCAAGGTCGGTATGTTCACCCAGTAAAATGGTTGTCCTACCATCTCAAGGTCAGTACATTCACCCCTGTGAAATGTTTCCTCAGGACCACCACCTCAAGGCCCACATGTTCACACACACGGGGCTGCGGCCCTACAGCTGCCAGGAGTGTGGGCGAGCCTTCAACCAGAAGGCCAACCTCCAGCGCCACATGCTGATCCACAGCTCGGAGCGGGCCTACAAGTGTGAGCAGTGCGACAAGACCTTCACCCAGCCACAGACTCTCAAGGCACACATGGTGGTACATGCTGAAAAGAAACCCTTCTGGTGCAGTATTTGTGGTGAGTCGTCATGAAGTCTATTTTAAGGATAGGAACACAAAGATCTGATTTAGATGAACTATTATGTGATTTGAAATATGAAGCTCATGAAGGACACATCTAGTTGTCCTTATGATCCTTCTTTCAACCAGGTAGGGTGAAGTTGCCTGACGATGTTGTGTCATGAGGGACTAGTTGTCCTAAAGATCCTTGTTTCAACTAGGTAGGGTCGTGTTGCCTTGCAAATTTTGCGTCATGAGGGACATCTAGTGGTCCCTCTGATCTTTGTTTCAGCCAGGTAGGGTTGTGTTGCCTGACGATGTTGTGTCATGAGGCGCATCTAGTTTTCCTTATAATCCTTGTTGTTTCCTTGGTTACTGATTGATTATTTTCTAGGTAAGGAGTTCGGCCGCCTGCACAACCTCCAAGGTCACATGCACATGCATAACAACTCCAAGCCCTATGTGTGTTTCTGTGGGAGCTCATTCACACTCAAAGGTACATAGTTCTCTTGTTAGTAAAATAACAACAAGAAAATACTTGACAATGATCACTATACTTTAAACTATCTTAGAGACCAGCACTTTGTGAACCAGAGGGGGATCATTGGAGCATCCTAGAAAAAGTACCAGGAATGTTCGCAAAAATACAAACATCTTTAATGAGGAGACCCATGAAATCCACGGACATCGGAGGCCATGAATAAACAAGAAATAGATACACAAGCATTTTGTTTTTAAAATGTTAATAACATTTGTTTGCTATAAGCATTTTGCTGTTTAAATTATTTGTTAGATTTTCATTGTAGCAAACTACTTTTGAGTCATAGAGATGGTCCTGAATTTCTTTACAATTATTTATCGTGGGTCACAATAAAAACTGTCAGACATGAGATTTCATCTGTGATAGGAATATACTCATGGCTGAAAAATGTCCGTCCAAACCACTAAATATAATTAATTGACTATTTCTCTATGAGCAAGAAGAGTAGTGGAAGACTTACAATTGATACATAACTCCTATAAGAACATAAGACATCTGCCTAGAATGTGTTATTTTAATCCAAATTTAGATAAATTTAGAATGCTTCTGAATTCTTTGTAACGTGAAGGTTACAAAGAAACATATGTAAATATGTATGTCAAAGATATGAGACAAAGTCTTGCAAATACTGGAATGATTTCACATACCATTGTAATATGTATAAACTTTTCACATACCATTGTAATATGTGTAAACTTTTCATATACCATTGTAATATGTATAAACTTTTCACATACCATTGTAATATGTATAAACTTTTCACATACCATTGTAATATGTGTAAACTTTTCATATACCATTGTAATATGTATAAACTTTTCACATACCATTGTAATATGTATAAACTTTTCACATACCATTGTAATATGTATAAACTGTATGCACTTTATTTGTATAGGGACCAGTGGCCTTCATACGAATAAAAGACTTGACTTGACAGTGCAGTCATAAACTCATATCATTGCGTCACTTTCAAGAAAAAATATTTGCATATTGCACATTCTAAAAAGACGGTTCCTTGATGCTTTATGGTGATTCTTGGAACTGTTATCTCTACATTAGATCCTGACTTCACTGTGTACATCGAATCGTTGCATTAGTTGTTTAAGAATACCTAACTGTATGGTCCTGACCAGTGGTTACTGGTAGTTTGGTTTCATATTGGTTCTCTGTTTAACATGAACAAGAGGCAACTTGACATACTTGATGACCCACAGGATTGAGCAAAGTTATATTATTGTTGAACTCTTTGTCTGTCTCAGGAAACTTGAATCGCCACAAGAAGGTGAAGCATGGCCTCAACGAGAGCACGGAAAGCATGGAGGAGGAAGCTGTGAACTTCCTCAGCCTCATGTCCGAGCGAGTCAGGGAGGAACGAACACAGGACGACGAGGATGCAGAGCAACAGGATGCACAAGAAATGTTGGACAGCCCACCTCTTGACCAATCAGGTGACCTCAAATCTCACAGGAGAGAGAGGAAGTCAACTCCAAGGAAGATTCCAAGACAGAGGAAGTCCATGGACAATGATGATAGTTCCTCTAGAGATCAGTGTGATGATGAAGAGGAACTGTCACAGTACTTCAGGCCACTGAGTGGCATCAACAGTCAGACTAGACCCTCCAGACGCAGTCTCAAGAGAGAGTTTTCATCGGATGAGGAAGATGACACAAGGGCACTTAAAAAACGAAGAGGTCACAGATCAGTTCAAGTTGAAGAGGTCAAGGTCAAAGAAGAAGTTGCGGAGGAGTCTCTCAGTGATGGTGAGGTGCGAGAAGAAGGTGATGATGATGATTGGAGTCCCAGCCAGAAACGGCCACGTTTACAGCGTGGTGCAAAACTTGACTCTATCATAGCAAAGAAATTTCAAAGTGCATAATTTATTTATGTCTGAGTGCAGTGGTATATCTTCATGGTTATTCAGTTTTCTCTTTAATTGTACATTTGACACTGAAATAGCCAAGGTTATGATAAGACTCTGAATGTTCATTGGAATTATCAAGTACAAGGAGAACTAAATATTGACGTGGTGTCCATGACATGGATTAGCCCATATTCTAACATCCATGATCATCCCCTGTATCTCCATTCTGTGATGATGTATACTCTGAATCCTTTCATCACTTTAGCTTTGTTTGACACCGGTCTGAAAGAAATTAACATCCAATTATATTACCCTTTTCTTTCATGATTGACAAAAGCAGCATTACCATCAGGACTTTAACTTGATCTTTGTGTGCCATTGCAAACACAGCCAGGATATCTTGTGATTTATTTAAGTACATTGAGGGCTCGTTCAGATGGCTTGCTCAGTTTTGAATCTAGATCTCTGCTGAACACATGTTCAGAAGAGGCATTTTAATTGGTTGTTGATTTCAAGCTCATGATCGAGAGAATTCTGTGTGAAGTGAAGAGTGATGAGAAAGATGGTGCTGGCAACGTCACTTCTAAAACGAAGCTGAGTTGGTGAATGCATCCAGGTATATATCGTCATCGAATGGAGATGCGATACTCTGGATAATGAAGGATAATAATTTAAACTATACAAAGCACAGCCACTAGTAGTTTAATTCACCATTTCAAAATGTAGACAATCCAGATTTATGCTGTCAGCAAGGACATGTTCAGAATTTGAAACTTTACACACAGAAATCCAGTGAGAATTTGGTGTACAACATGTTAATGGGCTTTGATGATACACTTTGTTGCCATATGACTGTAAGGTCACCATACAATACATGATATGATTCATCAAACCTCAATACCATCTTCCCGAGCAAGGGAGTCAACTGACTTTAAAAGTGCAGGCTCGATCGTAGCACCACCAGTGGCTATTAAGAGTTATGTCCCTGCTGTGTCCCTCGTACTGATCAATCAGATTCAACCACTCGTAACACTTGCAATTGGTTCAAACAAAATGGCGGCGCCAATACAAGACGATCTGATCGATAATTAAAGTCTAATTTGTGATAAAACGGGTCTAACTTCGCAAAGTGCATCAAATCACGTGAGCACCTTGATTTAAAACATGAAAAGATTTGGAAAATATCTGTTGACACCGTGTTGGTGGTACACAATCCTGCAATTAGATAAAATCTGCACAGCAGTTTACATATTGGATGTCCATTCTGTTACACGATTTTGATTGGAATATGCTCGTTGTCCAGCCAAAAAATAACTCCATAATTCCAGCCTATAGTCAGTTAACTCGCTTGCCTCTGGGAGATGCCTCAACACTTGCCATTTGTCATATTCAGCCCTCAAGAAAAATGACTGATGGCCTGACTAAAACATATTTGATAAATCTGTCAGTCAAGTCAGTTCAAAACTTGGGAACTTGTACACATTCCATCAGAAAATAGTATTTTATAATTCACTTTCATACAAGTCAACATGTCACATACACATGTACCATTTGGTATTGATACACAACCTCGGGATACTTGCAAAACTTGTCAGGTATCACGATACTTGCAATACTTGTCAGGTATCACAGTACTTGTCAGGTATCACAATACTTGCAATACATGTCAGGTATCACAATACTTGCAATACTTGTCAGGTATCACGATACTTGCAATACTGTTAGGTATCACAATACTTGTCAGGTATCACAATACTTGCAATACTTGTCAGGTATCACAATATTTGTCAGGTATCACGATACTTGCTATACTTGTCAGGTATCACGATATTTGCAATACTGTTAGGTATCACAATACTTGTCAGGTATCACAATACTTGTCAGGTATCAAAATACTTGTCAGATATCACAATACTTGCAATACTTGTCAGGTATCACGATACTTGCAATACTTGTCAGGTATCACAATACTTGCAATACTTGTCAAGTATCACAATACTTGCAATACTGTTAGGTACACTGAATCTTTAAAGCCCAAACATGTTGTACATGCTTTAACTGGCTTCACTAAAAAGTACTCACAATTTAAGATTCCACAGTGTATCAAGGAAAAGCATTTTGGTCATACATCATTTTGGAATTACGGTATTTTGTCAGTGGAAAACAAATATTGAAGAGTTTTAAGGTTTTGTCAAATGTACCTTGTAATATCTTACTGTAATTCTGATGAAATCCTACAATGTCTGTATATTGTTTTGTTCATATTGAAAATATGTTCAACTTGAAATGTGAATATTTTTATACTTCAAAGCAATTTGATCACTGTGTTATTTAAGACAAGGTGTTATATTATTATTGCTATGTGCCATGCTAGACAATAACAAAAGACTGGAGAGGTGAAGGATTGACTGTCGGTCTTGTATTAAGTTTTACATTTTAAAAATCTCCTGTGAAACCTGTAGAACTATTATGTCTGATATATATTCCTATAGCCTGCTCATCATTGGTGTCATGCCATGGCTGGAACGAGTCCAAATTCACTACCCGGGTACCCACCCCACTATTACCCGACCCTACCTAGGTACCCACTGTAGGTCTCAGGAGATGTCTCTAAATGTCCGATTGGGAACCCTGGCAAAACGTAGTTAGATACATGTATTAAACAGTCTGGTCATTCACTGAAGTTGAATTAAGTTATAACTTTATTCAACCATATGAAAAATCAGAAGGAATGGATGCATAGTTAGAAAGAAATGCGAACATTAGTGACTTGTAGTGTAACCATAGAGTTCCAGATACTTTTGTCATTAAACAATATATCACATGACTAACCACGGGTCCGGGTAGTCCTGTGGGTACCCGGGTCCTACTCAGTACCCACCCGACCCGGATACCAGAGTTACCCATCCCAGCCCTATGTCATGCATAAGAATTTTGAGATGAGTTCATTTATTTCATCAACATAGCCAGTCCTATTGAACATTTTTGTTTTGGTCTGCAGTTAATTGTTTCTCCAATTTGTGTATTCATTGACTTGAAGTAAGATGTCCACAGATGTGCAGTTTCTTTGCATGTTTTTTCAAACTTATTTTTGATATTTGTATTTAGTTTTTCTCTTTTGATCCCATTATTTTTTATCCCATATATTATATTTGCAAATCTTTGAAATATTAAGGTGAGCTTCAGAGCCCTATGGCTCTTCAAGTGAAAAAACAAGAAAGCAGAACAGGAGAACCCAAACAACTTTTAACTTAGGTAACCATGGTAACCAGTCATGTCTTCATACAACTGCTCATCAAAATAAAGTCAATGTGACCGGATCTTCATAAATTAAAAAAATGAGCAAATTAGAATTGTTATGAAATTATCAGATGAATGAGAATGACATTTGTTTCTTGTCCAGACTTGCATATTTTGGACTGATAACATCACTCAATTGTAGAGGTAAGGTAAGGCTAAATGGGTACAAAGAAAGGCTAAGTTTTCGAATATGCATTTTGTATAAATTTAACTTGAGCAAATCTTTGACCCAAGCTGATTTTCTCAGGAGAAATAGGTCACAACAGAAAAAGGTACTTTATCATGCGAAGCATGTAAATACCAAAACACTAGTTGTCAGTCATAACAGATTTCAAAACGATGTTTTACAGTTTCCTGTAACTTAAACTTTGACATTTTTGGCCTTTTTTATTCTACCTCATTGTTTGATAGTGATGACACAAGAACAACCCAAAAGGTTAAACTAGCCCACAGAACACATTAAGCAGCCTGGTACCGACCAGTTTGTGTTATGTTCTGTTCCTTGCTAGCCCTGGCACCCGTTCCACTGAGCGATCTTATCTCCCATGTTTTAATATAGGCTCCAGACAGGCGTATTGTCAGGGTCACATTGTGGAAGGGGGCCTGGTATTGTGGCCTCCAGGACTGACTACCCAAGGTGCCAGCTATATCTTGCTGGCCCTGCCCCCCGTTCCACTGAGCGATCTTAGCACTAAGATCACCGTAACTCCCATGTTCTAACATAGGCTCCCAACAGGCGTATTGTCAGGATCGCTTTGTGGAAGGGGGCCTGGTATTGCGACCTCCAGAACTGACTACCAAAGGTGCCAGCTATACCCTTAATCCCATTTCATTCAAACCCAGTCTTACTGAAATATAATATCAGTGTTGCTACTGTAACACATATTTTCTACTGCGGTAGCGAGCACTAAGATTTGAAGTTACTTCTACACATTTTATTACAAGGCTAATGTTTCTGGGGTAAATATCTGGTGTGCTGCATTAACAAACAATCTGTGGTTTTCTTTGAGATACATATGAAATATTGTTCCTTTCACACGCTTTGTTTGCAAGCTGTTCCGAATTTATTTCTGTCAGTATTTTGTGCATAAGTGACTGAAGCCACAGTAAAATCCTGTAAAGACTGAGTAAGATTATGCCATACATTGATGTCTATTCTATTTTAATTTTATATGCAAGGGGGCTGTTAGGTAGACTAGTAGTTTAAGCGTTCGCTCGTCACGCCGAAGACCTGGGTTCAATTCCCATATGTGTACACTGTGTGAAGCCCATTTCTGGTGTCCCCTGCTGTGATATTGCCATCTTCCCGAGGCAAGGGCGTTAACTGACTATGAAAGTTCAGTTTCCACCCTTGCCGAACTAGGTGGGAATTCCGGAGTTACATAGTCCAATATATTTTGGAAATATATACATAGTCCAATAAAAATGGCGTAACGAACAAGACATCCGGTTTGTAAACAACATGGATTTCAACATGCAGATTTCAGTCAACAGCAAGATTTGCAAAGCATATGTACTGCCAACTGGGCGTCAACAGATATTTTGCAAATCTTTTCATGTTTTTAATCAAGGTGCTCAAGTGATTTGATGCATTTCGCGTGGTAAGACTCATTTAATTACAATGTAGATCTTGATTATCTATCAGATGGTCTTGAGTGGGCACCACCATTTTGTTTGAAGCAAATGCTAGTGATATGAGAGTTGGAATCTGATTGGTCAATAGGAGGGACATAGAAGGGATATAACTCGCAATAGCCACTGGTGGCGCTACGATCGAGTCTGGAAATTCCAGCCTTGTGGAGGCAAGGGTGGAAACTTGGTTTTTATCGTCAGTTTACGCCCTTGTCTTGGGAAGATGTGATTTTGCTGGAATGTTGCTAAAAAGTACAAAACCTCACTTACTCATTTATACCCAAGAACTTGGAAACACTTGATCACATGCACAATGGTTTGTTTGTAGTTAGACTATTTGTTGGTAACATTGAAATTATTCTATAAGTTATCAGCATGCTCTAAACATGTGCTTGATGTTTAGCTTTTTGTCTAGTGGCAGGTACAGTTTCTCTTTAGAAAGTTATATCAAACAATCTGCATAGCAACTTAAAGAGGATGGAATCTCAGGGTCTATGTTGTACTGAACAAATGGAAAAGACTTATTGTAAATCAGTACTGTCATTGAAGTTGTAAGTCATTGGGAAATTATGTTCATTGTATCTGTTTGATAAAACACAGTGTTGGCTGCAATTCATGTACTATGTATAGGTTTCCTCCATCACAGGAATTAATTCTCACAATATCACTAAGCTTAGATCATTTCATGTCAGTCTGAAAGAATATCTTCTTCAATATATCAAGTGTCAGGAGTCAAAAAGAAAAAAATACAAATTGTCATCAGTGTTGCTATGAGATATATTTTGGAATTTTTTTAAAAATATTAAGCTTTAACAAAATTACCGACAAAACAATGTTTAAAATAAACCCAGCCTTCATGCTACTTCTAATCTGTCATTTAAAAAAATATATGTTACGGTAGACTTGCCTGTAAAACAGTTTTTGAAAACAGCAGATCAAGACACCAAGGAAAGTTTCTGAACTAACAATATCTTTCCTTGTATTTCATCCCTCCCTCTCCCTCCTCCAAAATTAAGAAGTTAAGATTTTATTCGACACCGATCTTCTTTACCACTCCCTTTCAGACTTAAATATCTAGATCAGTTAATTTACTGATATACAGTAAGGGGCAGACAATTTGATATTTGAGGGGAGGGGGCCTGGGATAAATTGTCCCCAAAAATTCTTTAAAGAAATAATCATGCATAATATTTTGGGTAAAAAAACCTTGTCTGCCACAAAAACTTTTTTTGCAAGAAACAATAATTTGAATCATGGTTTAAATTACAAAGATTTCTGGTTTTGCAGCTGTAGCTGAAAAATATCTGGTGTCAACACAAAATCCCAGCCCCTCCCCCACTACCACCCTCCACCACCCCCAGAATATCAAATGGTCGGTCCCTAACCATTACCTGAACTTGCTGATACACATGGAGATGCATGTATATAATTATGTTGTCCTTACCATATTTATCTTTGCTTACCAAGTGTTAAAATTCCCATTCATATTTAGTTTGTTTTGTGATAAAATATGTGATGATTTTTGACAATTTCAAAGATGTCTGTGATGTCTTGTGTTGAGTTTGATTGTTACAACTTCCAAGAAGGCAGGTTATGATGTACTGATGGTTTCATGTTTGTCATATTTTATTATATTCATATTTGTTCCTAACATTCCCGCTTAATGATATGAAGCTGTTGAGTTAATGACAGCAGCTTGATTTGTGTTAAATGATCAGAATTTCATGTTGATGAAACTACTGGTTGAAAGAGAAAGACCTAACTTTAATGCACTAGCACTCTGGAAACAGCATCCTCGGTTATCCAGTGTATTAAATATCCACTCTATTATGATACATTTCATTGTAGGATGGAGATATGATAGTCTGGATAACTGAGGGATAAGGAGGAGAATAACTGTGGAAACAGATACAGAGAAGTCAATGGGTTTCAGAAATAGAAGCATTGGAAAGTTTTTCTCCACTGAAACTATTCCACTTCCTGCATTTCCATTTTGTGGGGGTGGGGGTGGGGGGGCACGGGTGGCCAAGTTGTCTAAGGCGCCGCAATTCGCTGTGCAGAGTTGCATCCCTTGGGCACGCCAGACACCTATGATTGTGGGTACAATTCCCGGTTCGCCCCGATTATGTTTCTAGGTTTGCCGTGCTCGTGGGTTTCATCGTAATGGTAAACGTCTGAGACCTGCATCACTTCGGGCTTTCCTCCCACATTAAGCTGACACGCCGTGATATAACTGGAATACTGTTAAAAGTGGCATTAAACCCAACTCACTCACTCACCCATTTCGTAGGTCTTGAAGTTGTCAATTAGAGACCTATTTTCTATAATTTCATATCAAAAGGTCAGAGGTTTTGGAAAGCTATTGGTTGAGATCCTCCGACCCTAAATAAATTTGAAGTGGAGAAAAATCTGAAATGCTATTTGGTATTTATTCCGCCAAATGCAAACTAAGATGTTGTTCAGAATAGACTTGTAAGTGATAATGATGTACTACAGACTTAGGAAATCCATTCAGTCTGCATCTTGATTGTTCAATACTATTTTAAACAACACAGTGTTGGGATATTACAGATGGGGATGGAAAAGACTGCTCGGTCATATTTATTAACTGCGCTTGTGTTGTTAATTTCGATTATTTTACACATTTACTGTACAGTTTTAATTTCTGACACCCATTTTACTAAACTAACACATTTTATTTTCACAACCTCCTCACAATCAGCTTTGTCATTTTGGTTTTCTAAGTTTACACGGACAAAACAGTAGGTCTCATCTGTGATTTAGGATTTATTTCTTATCAGTTTATTTTGTGGTTTGATACCCATTAATAGATTTGATACTTTGAGAATGGTATGTATAAACATATTTCTTCATCGTGATTCATGGAGTTTTCTCTAACTATGTTGTTTCAGTCTTGAAGATATCACTAACTTATTTGTTGACTAAAACTGTACTTTATACAGTTACACTGCAAGTATAATTACCAACTTGATCATGTAAATCATGAAGAACCGATTATCTTTACTGGTATTTCTTAACAGTATTAGATATATATTTTTCCTTCATACATAGGGCATATTTCAATATGAACTGTGGAAAAACACATAGTTATTTATTTGAATAAAAGACTTTCAAATGATTGTTTTTTCCATCTTATTTTCAGGGTTCAGTATATCAACTTGCATTGTGCTTATGCATTTCAGCATATTTAACTGAACAAATAGATTTATTATTTAAAGTAATCTTATTAAAATAACCGTTACGTTTCATGATTACTTTTGGTTGTGTTAATTAGAAAAACGTAATTGTAAAAAAATAAAAACATTTTAAAAAAATGTTTAAAGAAGAAATCTGTCTGGCAGTTTCTAATTTCCGTCTATATTCATCAGTGGTAAATCATATACATGATAATAAAATACTAATTCAAAATTATTTCAACGTGATACATTCCGTAGAACGTTATTGCATGCACAAACAACATTTTGAGCGACGAATAAATACATTTTTAGTGGTTTTCCATGCACCCACCACGAGATGACCTCTCTTGATGTATGCGCAACAAGCTCCTTCTCAGCGCGTGACACCTACACTCTCGGTCTATATATAGAGAGCTCCGCGAACGGGCTATCGCTGTGAGGAGCTTGATGCGACAACTCGAAGTGCAAAGTTCAACACTATTAGCACAAAGTTTGAACTTGTGAATTAATATTTTACTTCCAGCAGTTGGCAGAATTGACAGCTGGGATTCTATTTAGGTATGCGAAGACGACGTATGGGCTATTTCTTTTGCTTTCTTTAATTAAACTCCTATCGTCTTGTAAATCTTATCACAGTCAAAGAAGACGAGACTCACACCGAGTCCACAGGCCCTTGAAGCAAGATAGTGATATTACTGAAACCCATTTATGTAAATCAGAGACCATATAGATCTGCCGATCGGTATATATGGTCTCTGTGTAAGTAGACAAGACTATTGATATATATATGGGTCCGGTGTTTCAGTAACATCACTATCCTGCTTCAGGGGCCTGTGACAGCTCGACTCTACGTTGAAATTTCACATTCACCCCATTAGAAACCAGACTGGTCTGTTTATATAAAAAACACCCAAAGACGATTACCAAGGTTTTATTTACTTCAGGTCCAATAAAAGGAAAAGGAAATTAAGGAAAGTCAAATTTTTTTTACAAGATTTCTATGGTATATATTTTGTACAACTGGAATTACTTTTAAAAGACCGTGAATCTTTGGAATCAAGACTACAATTCAATTAATATCTTGGGTACTTGACCATCAAAATTATGACAGGCATTGGCACAATTTATAACAGGCAGCTAAGTTTCTTTTCATGAAATAGTGTAAGTTTCAAAGTTGAGGTATATGCCCTGCCACATTTAAAACATGTTTTCTTTTTAAAACAACTTTAGTTATATGCCAAAAGTCTTGCCTCTTTTGAGATAAGGGGGCATCTGTGGCCTTGTAGCATTTCAAACTCACACTCACACACACACATTTCACTATTGGACCTTTGTGGCAGTTTCTTGTACTTTATAATATGGGAAATAAAATCCCTACATTTACAGTGATATAGCAGACTTATGGTTAACAGCTGGTGTTTACGAGAATTTTGCATTGGATGATTAAAAGTAGCTGTTGCTCAACCTAAAAAGCTGCTAATATCCATGATGTAGTCACATGATTGTTACCAAATGGTGTATCCAATATTTCAGGTTGCTCAATTAACTGGTACCTCAGCCTAAATGCCCAGGCACATATTTAGGCTACCGATATCAGTAGACAGAAACCGGTTTAGGTGTGAGGATGTTTCTGACATTAAGGTATGTTGTGAAGCAGCCATTGATGAGACTGACTTGGAAGACACGCAGACATGATGCTGGAAGGTCAGCAGTGCATGTTTCCAGAATTGGCTGTTATTCAACATGTGGTCAAAGTGTTAAAACTACAAGAGTGTCTAAGCATCTGTTGTTGAAAGAGCTGGAATCAAACTCGGTAACTTCCGATTGGAACACAGAGAAAACAGATAAACCCTTGGTTCTGTTATTTGACTGGTTGTATGCCAAGCCCAACCAGCTCAGAAAGTACTCCGCTTTGTATCATAACATTGGCCTAGATGTGTTGACAGTTACAGGCAGACTGTCAAACTTCCTGTGGCCACCAGTGGGCTACAAGTTAGCTGAAGAAATATTCAACTATCTCTTTGTGGAACGCAAAACCAAGGATGAGTTGTTAATTCATGCCTTCTCAATAGGTGCTTTCAACTATACTATCTGTCTGACTTTAGCTGACCGCCATCCAGAGCTGTATGGCATGTTCAGAGACCGGGTTATAGGACAGGTGTTTGATAGTATTGTTATAGGTTCATATGACAATATGACAGAAGGGATGGTCACTCTTTTTCCTAATATGGTCTTCAAGAAGGCTGTTTACCCTGTGGTGGATATGTATTACAGAGCAACAAGCAAGAACACAAAAGATGAATATGATCGGTTAGTGGCTCTGTTTAAAGAAAAAACAATTCAAGTTCCAACGATATTCTTTTATTCTGAGAATGACCCCATGTGCCATGTCCCTACTATGGAGTCCATGCTGAGGAACTGGAGGGAGAATGTACCCGAGTTCCAGGTTGAAGCCAAGAGCTGGGAAGTGTCCCAGCACACCGCACATCTCAAGCACCATCCAGAGGAGTACTTACAAGTGTGGAAAAAACTGGTGGACAAAGTTCTGTGAATATACATGTGATGAACTTATTATCTTGTAGAATTAGTATTACTGTAAATGTGATTCATATTGTAAGAGTGGCTTGAGAAGATTGGCCATTGTTGACAGATTGTTTTTGTGTGAAAATTATTCATGGCAGTTAGTGTTTTTGTTCATGTGGGTTATTTTCCAGGCTCGATCATAGCGCCACCAGTGGCTATTATGAGTTATGTCCCTTCTATGCCTCTTCTATGGACCAATCAGATTCCTCCTCTCATATGGCTTGCATTTGCCTCAAACAAAATGGCGGCGCCCAGTCAAGACAATCTGATCGATAATCAAGATCTATATTGTGATAAAATGGGTTTTACATCTCGAAGCGCATCACATCATGTGAGCACCTTGATTAGAAACATGAAAAGATTTGAAAAATATCTGTTGACACCAAGTTGGTGGTGCACATGCTTGCAAATCCTGCAATCGACTGAAATAGCTGCCCACTTTTGACTGCCAAATATTAACCTTCAAATCCATCTAACTGTTTGAGCAGTGATATTTTCTTTAATTTGGGGTACCTTGTTTCCCCCATGTTTTGGGATAAAGGTCATAATATCAGGGTATGAAACTCCAAAAACAAATAGCCAGACCACAGGACTGGCTAGCTGAAATACTTGCCAGCCCTGACCAAAACCTGCCTGCCCACTATATGAAGTAATGCAAGAAAAGAAATAGCAAACACTTTTTAGGTTAGATTTGTATTTAATATCCTAGAATACATCATGTAAATAATGCTTATCATCCAGAAATATTTAGAATATTTTTACATATGAAATATAACCCGACCGTCGGGACGGGGGATTTGAAAATCTGGCAGCCCGAATTGAAATCAACCCGTGTCGGATGGTCGGGCAGGCAAGTATTTCGAACACTGATAATATCTAGCCTTACTTTATCTGGTATACCTTTACAAGTGAATTCAAAGCATAATGTTTGTAGATATTCAGTGGTATCACATGTTGGTTTGATGTAGTCAACAGTAGGGATTTCAATACTGTATTTCTTCCAAGAGATGTGAGTGTTCCAACCTGCTACACATTCATTTCTTTTTGTATCATATTTATTTTTTGTCCTCATAGTTTTTTCCACCATATTATCTAGGTCGATATTAAAATGTAACCCTAACAGTAACCCAAACAGTGTAAATTCTGCTTGTGCCCACACGAAATTCTACTCTACATAGTTTGTGTCTTGATGTATTTCTTGAGCCTATCCATTGCTCATTGATTTCCTATCTGTGGATCCTGGGACAGAATGGGTTCCATAACATCTACCTGTGGGGATTCTTTGTTGGAATTCGTCCCCAGCATTGTATGCTTACCACATGGATTGAAGCTCATACTATCAATCACTGAATTGATCTGGTTCAGATCAATTATTTATGGCTGTTGGAACATTGCTGAGTGCAGCATTAAACAACACACACGCACACGCGACCTGTGAAGATCTGAGATAGAAGTGGTCTTCAGCAACCCATGCTTGCCATAACAGGCGACTATGCTTGTAAGAGGCGACAAAAGGGATTGGGTGGTCAGGCTTGCTGACTTGATTGATGCATGTCATCATATCCAAATTGCGTAGATTGATGCTCATTATGTCAATCACTGGATTGTCTGGTCCAAACTCTTATTATTTACAGACCGCTGAAGGTGATATATAGCTGGAATATTGCAGAGAGTGGCACGCACGCACCATAAAATCCAATTCTATCCATGAGGGCAGTTTAAACTGAGAATTACATTTTGTGACCAATCTGATTGGTTGTATAAAGGGACCGACCCTTTTATATAGTAGGGAGCCTAAATATGCTCTTCTAAAAGTTACCTTACAGCAATGTAATTTTTGTGACAACTTCATATTTTCTTCAAAAGCATAAAATATTAAAGTGGCCCATTAATTAATAGTTTTCAAGAATTTTTGGGCCACTTTAATATTTTCAATAAAATCCCATCCGCAACCCCTCAAGAATATCAAATGGTTGGTCTCTAACTGTACTACAAAGGAATGGATTGGTGCTCATGCTGTCAAACCACTGGCCTGTGATATTATTTAATTATTGCTGACTCGGTCACAATATGTTTTCTCAGTTATATTTATATATTATTCATTGATAATAACATGATAAATATATCAGTATTTATTATTTATTAACAGGATATTTATGCAATATAAAAAATCATGACAAATATGTAGTGTTGTTCTGATACATTCTCATCGTCATGTGATCCTTAATATTGGTGACACTCTGTTCTGCTTATTTGAAGTAACATTACATGTGATGTGTTCATGCTTATAAGGGACGGGGTGATAGACTAAACCGTCCTCTCTAGCTCACTTCATGCTTACAGAATAGCAACTGGTCTGTCACCAAAACGATCTGATCTGGTTTTGCCAAGCACCAGTAGTCGCATTGAAAGATCAGTATAAATGAACAAAACTGACAGAGTAATAGCCACAAGCTCACTTGACTCAGGAGAACTAATAACTAAACATGAGAAAATGTAAACATGGTACACACCCAGTGCCTGGTTCCAACAGGATATCACCATTAGTCTCATCTAGTTTGTTCCATTTTGTCAGCAATAGTTGCCATATAGACTGACTCCGCCACTATTTCATGAAACTATACAAATTATATCTGCAGTATCTATGTGGTATGAACAAATATATTTTATAACAAAGCGGAGGTTGTCGTTCTGTATCCTGCTTGTACTAAGGTTACTGCTCAATGTCTTCTACAACTGAAGATTCTGTGCAGATGAAATGGTCCGTGGATGATTGTTAGGAGAGAGGAGAGTGCATGTGTGAATATTCAAATACCCCTAAATACAGAGGTGACAGAGATCAATAAAGCTTTAAGCTTTCATCTTTTCTTTTGATGGGCATGGCCTCGATTGAATCATGTTTATTGCTTTTATTTTGTGACCTACAGCCAGTCTTGCCAGGACGACTAATTGGTTGATTCTAAAAAAAAAGCCCCTCTTTAACAAATATTCGCACCAAGGGTAACTATTTACAGGCAACAATAAACTGTTACTCCAGAGAAAGCATCGCTAATAATGTTACCAGGAAGGATTAGTGTACTGGGCACACTGCTCGGGTACAGTGTATATCTCAGCATAAGGGTTGGTGGGCCTACTAGCCCCTAGAGGAGTATACGCGTTCTCATCCAACGTTTTGTCCAGTGGACCGATATCTGTGTACACTTCTCCTTCTTCTTTAACCTTAGGCCTTCGGCGTTTCCTGTTAATAAAGTGAATGGTACCATGAACACATCAGACAAACAGAATAGTGTAAACCCACCTACAACCAGTTTAGCCATGTACCATATGTTTACGATTGCATGTTAACCCACCTACAACCGGTTTAGCCCTGTACCACACGTTCACGACTGCATGTTAACCCACCTACAACGGTATAACCCTGTACCACACGTTCGCGACTGCATGTTAACCCACCTACAACCGGTTTAGCCCTGTACCACACGTTCACGACTGCATGTGAACCCACCTACAACCGGTTTAGCCCTGTACCTCACGTTCACGATTGCATGTGAACCCACCTACAACCGGTTTAGCCCTGTACCACACGTTCGTGACTGCATGTGAACCCACCTACAACCGGTTTAGCCCTGTACCACACGTTCACGATTGCATGTGAACCCACCTACAACCGGTTTAGCCCTGTACCGCACGTTCACGACTGCATGTGAACCCACCTACAACCGGTTTAGCCCTGTACCACACGTTCACGACTGCATGTGAACCCACCTACAACCGGTTTAACCCTGTACCATACGTTCACCATTGCATGTGAACCCAACCCCACTATCGTAAGACCTAGTACTCCGACACCATACATCTCTGCAATCCGAGGACACCTCCACAGGAAGACGCACCAGCTGAACCATGAGCGAACTTGGACGCCCCAATGTGCATGAAGGATGCGCGGTGTTTTTGTGGCAGTCACTTGTCTAAAACAATTGGGCGACATTTGTGTACCACCTCGATTCGGAAAGTTCGGTCTTCGCAAAAGAAAAACGCCACAGAACACAAATACCCTCGATTGTAAACACTGTTGGCGCAAAAACGACAGGACATTTAAGATATCCACAACACTGTATAAGCGTGGTTTTATTGTTTGGAACTGTGAACAATCCGATTATTATCATTTTCGAGATAGAGAAATCACATATGATTGAAAGTTCCTATGGATGTATCGTCAGATTTTCACGCAAAATGGTATTGAAGAGATATAAGGTATAAGGTAAGGTATAAAAATAACTGAATGACAACAGGATTTTAAAGAACTGTCGCCCACCTTTATATATGAAATAAGTACCGTTCCACAAAGCTATTTTGACGATACACAACCTTGTGGAGCGCCATGACCTTTGGTATCGGTCCTTTCCCATTCCACTGAGCGATTTTTATGCTAAGTTTATTCTACAAAATACACAAATACACCCACTCGTCTGGCATTGACGTCTGATATATTTTACATTTGAGGTATAGTTTTGCATTCATTGGCAATGAACCTAACACTGGCACAAAATCAGTTATCATTCCTTCAGTCGCATACGTACTTGACAACACACACAGCAACGACTACGACCACGATGACCACGACCAGAGCTCCTCCAGCAGCGATTCCGATGATTAGGCCTGAAATATGATCAGCATATGATAAATATTGTAGACATATATCTGTTGGATCATTGCTTATCGGTGTTTAACAAACACACCGCTCAAGTTTTAAAACGGGAAACAATCATGAACAAGAAGATCCATCATATAAGTAATCGGTGTAGCGAGAAATATCCCTGTCTCCACCTCAGCTAAATTATCATGGAAGATGTTTATGGGGTTTACTGTTACACTGTTAAGATGTAAATGGAGTTTAACGACACATTGATTGATGCACTTACATATCGCGCGCGCGTGTGTACTAGTACGGACTAATGTCGATTTTATAGTGCTAGCCCACTGAGATACCATGCCGCAGGTTTAACATGAATACTCCATTCAGACAGTATACTGACTCCGAGCCGACCAGTCCATGTTTTAGCCCCTTAATGCCGAGCGCCAGGCAGGTTAACAACAAGTGCTATGTTTTAACGTCTTTTGGAATGACACCGACAACCTTTCGCTCTCCGGGTGGATGCTCTAGACCATGGAGGAGGTTAAATTACTTTCTTTTAAGTCGTTTAACACCTCGGTTACTTCGGTGAATACCATATTTCAAACAAAATATAATTTGAATGACTTGCATATTTAAATGATGCTGATAAATGTATTATAAGGTATGTAATAAGTGAATATATAGAATGCACTAAGTGAATATAAGGTGTGAACTATGTGGATACAAGGTGTTAACTAAGTGACTATAAGGTGTGAACTATGTGGATACAAGGTGTGAACTAAGTGAATATAAGGTGTGAACTAAGTGAATGAAAGGTGTGAACTAAGTGAATATAAGGTGTGGACTGAGTGAATGAAAGGTGTGAACTAAGTGAACGTAAGGTGTTAACTAAGTGAATATAAGGTATGAACTAAGTGAATGAAAGGTGTGAACTAAGAACATATAAGGTATGAACTAAGTGAATGAAAGGTGTGAACTAAGTGAATATAAGGTATGAACTAAGTGAATGTAAGGTGTGAACTAAGTGAATGTAAGGTGTGAATGTAAGGTGTGAATATGAGGTGTGAACTAAGTGAATGTAAGGTGTGAATATGAGGCGTGAATGTAAGGTATGAACTAAGTGAATGTAAGGTGTGAACTAAGTGAATATGAGGTGTGAATGTAAGGTGTGAACTAAGTGAATGTAAGGTGTGAACTAAGTGAATGTAAGGTGTGAACTGAGTGAATGTAAGGTATGAACTAAGTGAATGTAAGGTGTGAACTAAGTGAATGTAAGGTGTGAACTAAGTGAATGTAAGGTATGAACTAAGTGAATTTAAGATGAACTAAGTGAATGTAAGGTGTGAACTAAGTGAATATGAGGTGTGAACTAAGTGAATGTAAGGTATGAACTAAGTGAATGTAAGGTGTGAACTGAGTGAATGTAAGGTGTGAACTAAGTGAATGTAAGGTGTGAACTAAGTGAATGTAAGGTATGAACTTAGTGAATGTAAGGTGTGAACTAAGTGAATGTAAGGTGTGAACTAAGTGAATATGAGGTGTGAACTAAGTGAATGTAAGGTATGAACTAAGTGAATGTAAGGTGTGAACTGAGTGAATGTAAGGTGTGAACTAAGTGAATGTAAGGTAGAACTAAGTGAATGTAAGGTGTGAACTAAGTGAATGTAAGGTAGAACTAAGCGAATGTAAGGTATGAACTAAGTGAATGTAAGGTGTGAACTAAGTGAATGTAAGGTATGAACTAAGTGAATGTTAGGTATGAACTAAGTGAATGTAAGGTATGAACTAAGTGAATGTAAGGTGTGAACTAAGTGAATGTAAGGTATGAACTAAGTGAATGTAAGGTGTGAACTAAGTGAATGTAAGGTGTGAACTGAGTGCATACAAAGTGTGAAGAAAGTGAATAGAAGTTGTTAACAAAGTGAATATGAGGTGTGAAAGCGAACATAAGGTATGAACTAAGTGAGTGTAGGGTATGCCCTAGGAACCGACTATTTGATGTTCTTGTACTGTACTGAGGGGGATGTTTGTTCAAGGACAAAATACTGAAAAAGGGTAATTTTGACTCAACTTTAAAGAAAACCCAATGTTATCTGGACATGGCCAGGGAAATATGTGTTGTGAAAACAAATAATATTATTCTGCCCAAGAGAATATATAATGGTCGGCCCCTGTGCAGTTTACCCGTTGTAAGAAATGATGTACCCATTGAAAGGCCCCCTTCATGTCCAGATTCTGATTCTGAAAACAGACAACACAGAGGCACATTCAGCATCTGCCTGACCCGTTCCAGGGTTAAAGTTGAACAAGTCTTATTGCAAATTTCGTGGCAAATAGTGTGTTTATAGCTACTTACATTTTGGAAAAACAGCAACCTGGTAAGTCATAGATTTTTCATTTAACAAGCTCTTTAAGTTACATAATTAATTACTAATATAAGAAAAATTAAATATGAAGACAACACTATCACTGAATGACTTGAATGAAATATACTGGAACCATTAAGCGCAAGAATCCAACGTTCTGATTAAAGTAATGAAATGTGTCTTTTTTACGGTGTCCCCTTCCCTCTACAGTAATACATGTAATTATTTTAACTGACACTTCCGACTTGAAACAAATATATATACATGTAGATCTCGTCAGTGTTTCTCACTGTGACATTTGACACAAGTTTTACGTCACATCTCTATCGTCTTACCAACATTACATAAGTCTCCTTCCCATCCGGTCTGACATCCATCCGGGCACTTGCCAGTCACGTGGTCACACGAAGTTCCGGTCCGGCACTTGGAACAAGGTGATTTGCAGTTTTCACCAAAGAAGCCAGGGTCGCACTCTGCAATATAAACAATGTACTGTTACGTGGAATGGACATAAGATATGCTTTACTGATGCTGAACAACATTTGGGTTCAGAATTGAAACATTCTGGGTAGGGTACATATTGATTGGCTGTGGGTGTTTCTGAGAACGGTTGTCAGTATTGATGCCTGGAGGGTATTCCTGGTTAGAATAGTCCCCGAGCAACCAAGGTTGTCACAAGAGGCGACTAAATTGATCTGATAGTCAGGCTCCATGCCTTGATTGATTCAGTGTCAATGTACCCCGACGGACGTTGATCATAATGTCATAAAGTTGAGATAGTTGATTCGTATGATTGCACCCCGGCGGTATGGGGCATTGCTCATTAAATCAATCACTGATTGGTCTTGTCAAGACTCGATTGTTTACAAGCCGACGTACAACAGCTGGAATATTTTACTTTAAACAACAAACCGTTTGTTTATTTGTTGTTTAACGCCGCACTCAGCAATATTCCAGCTATATGACGGCGGTCTGTAAATAATCGAGGCTGGACTCGACAATCCAGTTATTGACACCATGAGCATCGATCCACGCAATTGGGTCGACGACATGCATCAACCAAGTCAGCGAGCCTAACCACCCGATCCCTTTGTCGCCTCTTATGACAAGCATAGTCGGCATTTACGGCAAAACAAAGAAACTAAATCAGATTATATAAAACACGTTGTATTATCTCATCGCGCTTGTTGATGTCACCATGAAAGAATGAACCTTAAAACACCAGATAAATATTTGCTTTTGTACTTGCACAGACTTGTATTAAGCCTGACCTTGTGAACACGTTCGTGGCTTATAACCAGCCGCACAGCCTACAAAACACTGGCCAATGGTCTTCTCACAGATCTCCCCCTTTGAACATTGTCCACACTCCGTGCATGCTGGTCCATACCGACCATCCGGACAAGTTGCTGTAAAACAGGTTGCAAGTGTAGAAAGAAAACTCAAGTACCGTTTAAATGCATACATTTTGCTGGAACATCAAAGTCAAAACTGAGTTTGGTTTGGCAGTTTTACACTAACTAACCCCACCAAACATTCATTAACTTCACAACCACCATCCACCATATAACATCTAGCATATATACTCTGTGCAGGGCTTTTGATTGCCTAGTTCAACAACCTGCCAAGATTAACAGAAGTGCAAAGAAACAACGTCATAGGCCGCTTGCAGGCAGGAGAATCCCGATCAGCTGTCGCCAGGGTCTTCAATGTAGCGCCAAGCTACGGTTTCAACAGCATGGGTCAACACGTGATCGGCCAAGGTCGGGACGACCTAGAGTAACCACCCCGGCCCAAGATCGCTACATCCGACTGCGCCACCTACGTGAAAGGACGACCACAGCCACCTCAACCTCATCCCAAATACCCGGACTGCGCAGAATCTCCGACCAGACCGTACGGAACCGTTTAAGAGCAGCAGGTCTACGAGCAGAACGTCTTGTTCGACGCGTCATATTGAGTCGACAACATCGTCAACAACGACTGCACTGGTGTCGTCAACACAGGGTATGGCCTCAACGATGCGATGGAGAGATGTCTGGTTAAGCGACGAATCAAGATTTCTCCTTTGTCGAGGGGATGGGCAATATCCAGGGCAATCTTACGGCTCAATGATATATCAACGAAATTCTCCAACCACACGTCCTCCCAATTTCAGCCAACAACAACAGTGTATTCCAGCAGGACAATGCTCGATCGCATGCGACACGGATCACAAGAGCCTGTCTACACAATAACAACGTTCTCCCCTTGCCCTCCAGATCCCCGGATTTGAACCCGATAGAGCACCCGTGGGATAAAATGGATAGACGGCTACGCCGACGTCAACCACAACCCCAGACGTTTCAGCAGTTGGCCTTTGCGTTGCAGGCCGAGTGGACTAACATTCCCCAGGATGTGATTCGCATACTCGTTTCTTCCATGGGCAGGAGATGTCAGGCCGCTATCGATTCCAACGGGGGACATACGCGTTATTGATGGTAGCTGACCTTCACCTTGGACATTTCCTTTGTACCGATAACCGAGATGACTACAATCACCAAGTGTTCTCTCCACAACATGTTGGCTCAATACCTTGTACCGACTACGGTTCCTCGTATAAATGTATTTTCCAACCTCACACAAATCTGGCTTAGCGTTTCTTTTTTCGAAGATTATATTTATCACTTAACAGCCACCATTTATCACCAATCATCCACTTTCAATCAGTAATCGTACACCACCGAGAACCCCATCACCTACCATCCACTTATCACCACCACCTAGCATCTACCACCCACTAATCACCACCACCCAATATCTACCATCCACTACTCACCACCCAGTATCTACCATCCACTACTCACCACCCAGCATCTACCATCCACTACTCACCACCACCCAGCATCTACCATCCACTACTCACCACCACCCAGCATCTACCATCCACTACTCACCACCACCCAGCATCTACCACCCACCACTCACCACCACCCAGTATCAACTATCTGCTTCTCTTATCACCCAGCATCTACCATCCACTACTCACCAGCCAGCATCTACCATCCACTACTCACTACCACCCAGCATCTACCATCCACTACTCACCACCACCCAGCATCTACCATCCACCACTCACCACCACCCAGCATCTACCATCCACTACTCACCACCACCCAGCATCTACCATCCACCACTCACCACCACCCAGCATCTACCATCCACTACTCACCACCACCCAGCATCTACCATCCACCACTCACCACCACCCAGCATCTACCATCCACTACTCACCACCACCCAGCATCTACCATCCACTACTCACCACCACCCAGTATCTACCATCCACTACTCACCACCACCCAGCATCTACCATCCACCACTCACCACCACCCAGCATCTACCATCCACCACTCACCACCACCCAGCATCTACCATCCACTACTCACCACCACCCAGCATCTACCATCCACTACTCACCACCACCCAGTATCTACCATCCACTACTCACCACCACCCAGCATCTACCACCCACCACTCACCACCACCAATCATCTACCATCCACTACTCACCACCACCCAGCATCTACCATCCACTACTCACCACCACCCAGCATCTACCACCCACCACTCACCACCACCCAGTATCAACTATCTGCTTCTCTTATCACCCAGCATCTACCATCCACCACTCACCACCACCCAGCATCTACCATCCACTACTCACCACCCAGTATCTACCATCCACTACTCTTATCACCCAGCATCTACCATCCACCACTCACCACCACCCAGTATCAACTATCTGCTTCTCTTATCACCCAGCATCTACCATCCACCACTCACCACCACCCAGCATCTACCATCCACTACTCACCACCCAGTATCTACCATCCACTACTCTTATCACCCAGCATCTACCATCCACCACTCACTACCACCCAGCATCTACCATCCACTACTCACCACCACCCAGCATCTACCATCCACCACTCACCACCACCCAGCATCTACCATCCACTACTCACCACCACCCAGCATCTACCATCCACTACTCACCACCACCCAGTATCTACCATCCACTACTCACCACCACCCAGCATCTACCATCCACCACTCACCACCACCCAGCATCTACCATCCACCACTCACCACCACCCAGCATCTACCATCCACTACTCACCACCACCCAGCATCTACCATCCACTACTCACCACCACCCAGTATCTACCATCCACTACTCACCACCACCCAGCATCTACCACCCACCACTCACCACCACCAATCATCTACCATCCACTACTCACCACCACCCAGCATCTACCATCCACTACTCACCACCACCCAGCATCTACCACCCACCACTCACCACCACCCAGTATCAACTATCTGCTTCTCTTATCACCCAGCATCTACCATCCACCACTCACCACCACCCAGCATCTACCATCCACTACTCACCACCCAGTATCTACCATCCACTACTCTTATCACCCAGCATCTACCATCCACCACTCACCACCACCCAGTATCAACTATCTGCTTCTCTTATCACCCAGCATCTACCATCCACCACTCACCACCACCCAGCATCTACCATCCACTACTCACCACCCAGTATCTACCATCCACTACTCTTATCACCCAGCATCTACCATCCACCACTCACTACCACCCAGCATCTACCATCCACTACTCACCAGCACCCAGCATCTACCATCCGCTTTTCACTATCACCCAGCAATTCTTCACCACAACCCAGCATTTCACCACTACTCGGGTGATCAAGCTTGCTCACTTGGTTGAAGCATGTCATCGATGCAAATTGCGTGATGACAAACACTGGATTGTCTGGTCCAGACTCGATTATTTACAGACCGTCGTCATATGGCTGAAATATTGCTGAGTGCGGCGTTAAACAACAAACCAACCAATCACCACAACCCTTTTCAGCTGTGGAGAGTTGAGTGACTTCTATTTAGGAATACAATGTGTACCTAGTTCTGTTGCATTCACGTTCGGGGAATACACGTGGATACCTAGCGGTAGGTAGACTCCTGACGCTGTGAGCTTGATGTTCATATACAACCCATCTTCGTGTAGCTGGAAGAATGACCTGCAACCAAAATATATATATATATATATATATATCTATATTTAATTTCTATTAATCCTAATTATTTGCTTTACATAGCCATACCCTGCGTTATTATATGCAAGAGATATACCCGCTGTGTTTTCAATCTTTATAATTGAATAATATATACTTTTGTTACCTTTCCTTCCTCACGGTGTAATATAGGAAGCCATTGAAATGGGAAATATAGAAGAACAGTCGTCCTGATTCGCTTCTGAGTCTCTTCCTCTGCGTGCCATTCGTAAACATGGACTCGATGTAACCGGCTGAGTCTGTCCAGAACAGGCGGCCACCTACAATATACATGTTACCCAGCTGCCTGGGATCAGTACAGGTGACCAACGACACATCCAGGATATAAAAGATAGTCATCGAGTCATACCAAAAGACCGAAAGTAACACGTGGTCAAAATAAGTCACATTCTGCAATATCTTGACTGAACTTATCTCGCAAACGAAGAATTTATCTGGTAACACCGAAGTGCCCCTGCTCTTGTTACACAAGCTACTCTGAAGCCGTGTGTGAAATGGAAGTTCGATAGCTACCTTTACGAGTGAATGTTTTTAACGCCGCAGCATGGAACCACAAATAGCTTGTAGCACCGCGCCTGTCTCAACTCTAATATGTTAACATAAACTAGCCACGGTGGCTGTCGCTTTGTGAATCAAGGCAAAGAAGTCCTGGCCCGTGTAGAGTCTCAGCAACGCTCAATGTCGCCATGGATCGATGACACACAATGTGCCACCCGATCCCCCTTTTAACCTTAGCTTCCGACTAAATATGAGGTATCAAAATGTTCATTTATTGTGGATCTAACGTTGTGATAATAGTGGTGACAAGTCTCACCCTTTTGGTCAATGGTGATACCGTTGGGTTGTGCAAGTCCAGACGAAACCAAAGTTGCCCTTGCGGCTCCATTGTAATCAGATGTCTCGATCTTTGGCGAGTTTCCTCTGTTCACCCAGTAGAGCTTCCTGAAACACATGAATACCTGGCCTACACCTGTCATAAAGCTTTTGCTGACGTCCCATACCTGGGGCATTATCTGACACCTATCAGATCAGCGTCCCCATTCTTTGTAACACGCAAGCATCTTACATACATACACTTGACATACAGCAGGCATACAGCTGGTATAGGCTTCACATACACCTGGTATACACCTAACATACACCTGGCTTACACCTGACACACACCTGACACACACCTGACACACATCTATGAGATCAGCGTCCCCATTCTCTGTAACACACAAGCATCTTACATACATACACTTGACATACAGCAGGCATACAGCTGGTATAGGCTTCACATACACCTGGTCAACACCTAACATACACCTGGCTTACACCTGACACACACCGGACACACACCTGACACACACCTGACACACATCTATGAGATCAGGGTCCTCATTCTTGAACACACAAGCATCTTACATACATACATTTGACACACACCTGACACGCACCTATGAGATCAGGGTCCCCATTCTCTGTAACACACAAGCATCTTACATACATACACTTGACATACAGCAGGCATACAGCTGGTATAGGCTTCACATACACCTGGTCAACACCTAACATACACCTGGCTTACACCTGGCTTACACCTGGCTTACACCGGACACACACCTGACACACATCTATGAGATCAGGGTCCCAATTCTCTGTAACACATTGACAAATAAACCTGACCTACACCTGACACACACCTTGTAGTAACACATTGACAAATAAACCTGACATACACCAGGCATACACCAATCAGATCGGCATTACCATTCTCTGTAACACATTTTCACTGACATATACCGGATATTTAATGACCTAATAATCTCTTGTTGCGGTCTTACTTGTAGTTCGTGTCGGCAACAATCCCCATTGGTTTATCGAGGCCGGTGCTTACGATGACGGTCGACTGTAAACTGTCCATCTCGATGCGGGCGACGATGTCGGCTCCAGCGTCCGTGTAGAACACCTGCCGGGTCTGGCTGTCCAGTGTTATCCCCTCTGGGTTCGATGCTGCTAATGGCATGTCACTTCATTAACGACAGCCAAAGGATTACATTAACAGTGAAAAGCATGAAAATATTAATTGCAGTATACTGCAATACAAATTAAGGGACCAGCTGTTCAGGGGTGTGTGTGGCTTCACAAGATAGAGTTGTTTTCTCTGTAGGGATGAGCCAAAAATGTTTTTTTCGCATTTGTTGTATGTAAAATCTAAGAACAACCTTTTCTTTCCAGCCTAATGGGGCTCAGATTATTCTTTTTCACAAAAATCATGCATATAGTATCGGATAGGATCACGCAACACGAGTCACAGCGTGAATCATACCAAGATCAAATTTACATACAGTAGTTTATTCAGTTAATTATGTGGTAAAAATACAGACAGTAATTCCCGATGGATCAAAAGTTTTAAATTTCCAAAATATGAATCTGTTCACTTGATAAACCACAGAGGACATTGTGCTAAGAACGTTCGATTTAAAAGAGTGTGTAAATAACACAAAACTACTTTGATTTGAAAAAGATGAAATACAGCAATGTCATGGTTTTTATCTTTTTTTAAAGATCATACAGTGATGCTAACTATTGCAAACAGTTTTGCGACAAAACATTACACATTAAGCTCACATTGTTGATGTCAGGGTGATCCGGTTACGAAAAACAGAGCACCAATTGTGTAGTTTACATATAGAATAAATGCAACAAACATATTTACATGTGTTTAACGAGGCCATCAGCTGATTATTTCCTCCGTCTAAGTCTGCTCGTCGTATTTGATAGGTTCTGACATCAGTCCAGTAGACGTGATGGCGTGTCCTGTCGACATCTATAGCCGTGGGCCGCAGCATGTTTGCGATGTTGAGGGCGCCAGTGTCCCAATCATGCAGGTTGATCTTGTGAAGAAACCCAAGTTCTCCCGTCTTACCCAGATCGGTCAGCAGGACCACGAGCTGCGGAGACTCAGCTGAGGACACGCATATGAATATTGTTAGGGCCCGACCATTTGTCCTCATCCCCGCACGCACATAGACAGACGCGTGCGCACGCACGCACGCACGCACACGCACATAGACGCACAAACAGACACAGACAGGAGCGCACGCACGCACGCACGCACGCACGCACACACACACACACGAACACACACACACACACACACGAACACGCACACACACGAACACTCATACATACACAAATACACACTTTTGAGAGCGACCAAGACATGGAGGACAGTGTTTTTATGGTCAAAATGCAAGAAAATTGGAATTATTTTCATGATAGATATAAATAGACAAGCAGTTTGAGAGTCATAAAAGTAAGGACTCATTTTCATTTACTTTTGACAGTCCTTGGCATAATGAGTTGCTGCGTCAGGTCGTTAAAAAAGGATAAACTGCGCGTGGACTTTATAAGTTCACCTCGATTTAAAGGGTTCAAACTTAAGAAAAAAGCATATCACGTGTTTGCGCAGTTGGAATTTTCAATATAACACACACACAAAACAATACCCAAATTTATATACTAGTAGATCATATAAATCATATACTGATTACAGATGACACAATTAAATATGAGTGAGTGGGTTAGTTGGGTTAACGCCGCTTTTAACAGTATTCCAGTTATATCACGGCGTGTCAGCTTAATGTGGAAGGAAAGCCCGAAGTGATGCAGGTCTCGGACGTTTGCCACTTCGGTGAAACCCACGAGCACGGGTATGGTGCTGACAAACCTAGAAACATAATCTGGGCGAACCGGGATTCGAACCCACAATCATAGGTTTCTGGCGTGCCCAGGGGACGCAACTCTACACAGCGAATCGCGGCACCTTAGACGACTGGGCCACATTAACAGATGAAGATGTAGAATAAGCAGAGGCTGATCCAGAAGGGGAGGGTGGATCAAAAACATGTATCTGCCTTGAATATGAACGATGCAGTTTGAATTATAAGAATCTATTTGGCAATGGTATTATCATCAAACCGTACATATACATTGGGTCTTTTTTGGATTACAGTTTACTTGCGTGCCATGTTGTTTTGTTTGTTTGTTTAATGCCTCACTCAGCAATAGTTTAGCTATATGACGGCGGTCTGTAAATAATCAAGACTGGACCAGACAATCCAGTGATTGATATTATGAACATCGATCCATGCAAATGGGAATCGATGACATGCATCACGAGCCTGACCACCCGATCCCGTTAGTCGCCTGTTACGGCAAGCATGGGTTGCTGAAGACCTATTCTAACCCGGATGCATGGCCTGTGGTAAAAAACCCAAACCTCTTAAAGCAGATTTACAGTGAACTATAAATATGAGATTAAATAATTAATAAAGCATATCAAACAGTTTATTAAGTATAATATTATATTTTGAAGGAAAAAATTCAAAAAGCAACATTTGCGACAAAAACAACTTTACAACCTAATCGTATTCCGGAAACTACCGAAAGTGAATGAGCAGAGTTGTCATCACGTGACGTGGCGTCATAGTGGAGAGTTGACTTGCAGAGACTCCCTGTTTGTGTGTAGTGTTTGGTACTTGGTAGATTACTAGGGTTCTCCATGGCACCACCTGACATTGCCATCTATGAAAATGTTGAATTTTCGCTCAGTGACCTTACACGTATTCGCCCATATCGATAAGATCCAGTGTTTAGTCGAAACAGAGGACAACATGTAACATGAGACATTCTAAGACATCGCTATCTGAGATAGCACATTGTGTTCGGAGTTGATTACTAAGCTCATTTACATGTACTACACATACTATCCTGGACAATAGACATGGTAGACATATTTTGTTTCGCAGTGATGAAAAGTCAAATCTTCATATTCGTATGAAAGTACACCGTTTTAAAGAATATAGACTTTATCTCAACACAAAGCTCTATTAATCTAGTCGCTTTCACTACATACTTTTCTCCATTGTAAATTCAAGAAGCATATCACATGTCCAAATTCGTCTGAGTAAAATAAAAAAATAAAGTACTTTTCACAAACGTACTCAGATGATAGAGACATGTGATAGTTTCAATTTCAGTTCAACTATAGTAGGAATGGAGATCATTTTGTCTCACAAAACAAACACGATCTCACAATAATAATGTCCAGCGTCACACAGTTTATCACGCTTCCAAACGTTTTACCAATTGTAGGAAGAAATATATACCAAACTCATCTGTAGATGGAAGGAAAATTGACTTGATTTTTTCAACCCCTTTATTATGTAAGATTTGAATAGAAAATGCTGTATGTTCACAGAGGCTCTTTCTTTTCAGCTGCATTCCCCTTTAGTTCATTTCTCCAATAAAAGTAATCATAAAAAATCTCTGCTAAGAGAAGACTCGATTTACGATTCCGATATCATAAGCATGTGTTTATGAATCACATTTATTCATTCATGAAACCTGCTCCGTTGATGTCACCCGTCAAAAACACATACAAAGGCGAGTCAAGTTTTCAATTAAACAAACACGTTAACATAGTCAAAATAGGTAATAGATTCAGGCAAATTTGGAAATGTCCACATGTCTATCATAAAACCTTTTAAAGCTTTACTAAGGTCTTCAATGCTGTAACCCTTTTGAGGAAAACTCGAAAGACGCTCTTCGAAATTTTCGTCGAAAGAGCATGTTCGATGTACCGCAAAAGTTACAGTGAAAAAGTGAAATGTAGACACCAAAGTCTTGAGCTGCATCATCTTGTGGATAGTTTTTTTTGCCAATCTGAATATTTATGCATCTTTAATTTCTATTTCAGGTGAATAAATCAGAAGCAGGGAATATTTTATGTGTCATTTTATATTTGTTGCATTTCATATCGTTTTTACAAACAGAAAAAACAGTGACTTCCATGTCACAAAAAGAGTTTTTATGGCATGAATACCAAAAACAAGCCTTTATCACAAAGGTTACATGTAACAATATTGTCTACATTTACAATTTTGAATAATCTACTGTTAGTTATATTGAAACCACTGGAGCTTAGTATCCTCAGTGCACCAAAAGGATACGTCATTATAACGACCTAAGGCCCAGTTTAGATTCCCCTATGGCTATTGTTTCATTCTGGATATATTTACTTTTGACCCTATGCAAATTAGCTGTGTCTTATCAATATTTACTTTCGGTCAAAAAAGACCCTTGAAAAATGGGTACTTGAAGTACTGCGTTCAGACCCGTCTAATATACATCTTGTATTGTCTGCAAACTGTTGTTTGAGGAATTCGATCTTACCCAAATTAATGCCATTTATAACTGTATTATTTCCAATAGATTTTATCAATGAGAAAGTCCAACATTTTTGACAGATTATCCTGATCCTGTGTAGATATATAACTTATCATATAATGGGTAGGTTTCTCGGCAGGATAAAGCCAACGGATAAAAACGATATCCGTTGGGGTCATATGCGGAGAGATGCAAATACCAAAGGTCAAGTAGGACTACTTTCACTGTTTATAAACAAACATGGCGTCGCCCTCGTCATTCGGCGATCGAGTCAGAATTAACCATCGTGAATCTGGATAAACTACAGGGATAATTGCTATCATTATCAAACGAACAGTCTAATATACTGAAAATCAGTGTCTAACCGTGACGTAGCTAAGGCATTTTATATGTTTTGGCAACTTTCGAGATATAAATTTCGAAACAATTTTGCGAGGGCACGAGGCCTAGCCAAGCGGGATCAGTAGCCATATCTGTGCTTGTAGATCTCTGTGGCTTAAAACCTTCTCCACAAATCAAAATGGTTGGATTCGGCCGAAATATGTTTGAACTGTTACCTTGTTTCGATTTGTCGCTGTGTGTACATCTGACTACACTTCTTAACGTTATGAAAGGACAGACCGACTGTCAACAACGTCTGACCGTGGCCGTGACTCATAGACTAGGGTTAGAGTAGCTTCCCTTTGACAAAGGGCAGTTACTCTAGCGGACAGACCGATGGATTGCCACGAAAGGCAATTAAAAACAACTGTTGTTTTGCGTATAAGTTGCTTCGCCACTGTATATGAAACAGATTTCAGTTGGAACTATATTGGCTACTGTCACAGTCCTACTGACACATCACTTACCCTGTGACGTAATAAATATTAATGCGCGCATTCCAGGAAAACTCGCAATGTTTCGGTAATGTTTGTGAGAGAGGGAAAGCGATTTTAAAGCACAGAATTAAAGAATGACATTATATGATAAAGAGGTTATCACGCTTGTGTGTTTGGGGATGATAAATATCCTGTATTAGGAATAAACACTATGTATTTAGCTCGCCAAGGCTCGCTAAATACAATGTTTATTCCTAATGCAGGATATTTACCATCCCCAAACACACTCGCGTGATAACCTCTATATATCTATGGGCAGAGAGAGAGAACTACTATTTACTGGTTGTATAAAATTAACCCACGTTCCATATCAAGTACTCAAGTGCATGGTTGACAAGGTTGACGAGATTCAACCCAAGTTAACCAGTGTTTAATCAATTATAACTTTGGCCAGTACACGAAATAAACCACATAAAATGCAACATTAGATGTTATACAAAATGGCTGCCAAGAGAAGGAGAAACACAACAGCCATGTATATTGCTATAACACACATCTATGAAAGGTAAACAAGTGTTTGATTGCTCATCACTATCGCTTTTCTATGTAATGCATGTAAAACGACCAAAACGTTCAAAATATAGTGTAGAACATCAAACTGACATGCATTTATGTCAACAAACGACAGCTGAATTTTCCTGACGCATATAATGATACATATATACTATCAATACCTAGTTAATTATATGCATCAAGATGTTTTTATTCGTGATTGAATCAATAAATGAAACCAAATAGCTTTAACGAGATCGTTACTTGGAGGCTCACTGAGAGTACTGCACCCCAAGGAGCCACTTAGGTCAACAGTCGTATGACGCAGATCAGTTACTAATGTGCTAAAACTGATCAACCAAAGTAAACTTGGGTTATGCCTTGGTCAAGGCAGTTTCTTGTTATGAAAACGTATCCAAAAACACATGTTTACCATGCTTTTGTCTGACTCTTCTAAATATGTCAAATTCTAGGTAATATCAGTTACATCGGTAAATGCTATAAACTGTGTGCATGCAAATGGGAACATCACGTGACATTATCATGCAGTAGTTCTTAAACATATCTGTGCAAAATATTTCATTACTTTATGATTATTTTTCTCACCACGGGTGAAAGGAATGCAATTCGTAAATAAATTATGGCAGCCTCCTTCTTAAGTCCGATACATTTGATGCTCAATTTGGGACAAAGTGTGCAGTGAAAAAGTCATATTACCTTGACCAGTGGCTATCCAGGGTAACAAACCACACACAACAATCATGTACTGTAAAATCATGGCTCTTGATTGTTTCAGTGTTGCATCAAACCATGGCTTGATATCTGACATGCAAAACAACAGAACACTCAAAACCCTGGATGTGCATTTTACTTCCTTGTCAATCCTTATTGGTTAATTTCTTGTCACCATCTACCCAGCGTGTCTCAGCGTAATGTTTAAGAGGGAACTAGAGCGTTTCGCTCGTAAGGTCAAGCACATGTCACCCCCTGCAATATGAGTAACAATTGTGTATACCCGTTTGGATATCCGTTCACATACCCGTAATGCATTCAGGCGTTTATCTATTTGTCACACCCCGAGAAGATCCTGGGTAAAATAGATCTTCAGTAACCCATACTTGCCATAAAAGGCGACACTGCTTGTCGTAACAGGCGACTGACGGGATCGGGTGGTCAGGCTCGCTGACTTGGTTGATGCATGTCATCGATCCCAATTGCGTGGATCGATGCTCATGATGTCAATCACTGGATTGTGTGGACCAGACTCGATTATATTTACAGACCGCCGTCATATAGCTGGAATATTGCTGAGTGCGGCGTTTAACAACAAACAAACAAACAAATCTATTTGTCACACAGTATCTGTCTCGAAACACTATTGCTCCCTTTCAGGAGTCCATTTCAGCTCTGCAACTGCCGTAAGTCAACGTTACAGTACAGGTGTTGCGATAATCGTAGAACTAGGATCGCTTTGTGAAACGGGCCCTGAATAACCGTGTTATCTTCAATCGAAAAACTATAATTATAATATATATTATAATAACTGTCTAGTGCCCATTTCCTGTGTCATTATGATGTCAGTAGTATCAAGAGTCCCAATAAGACAATCGATAGATTGGATTATAGAATAAAAATGATTGAGTTGGTTTAACGCCGCTTTGAACAGTTTTTCAGTTATATAGGGCGTGTCAGCTTGATGTGGGAGGAAAGCCAGAAGTGACGAAGGCGTTAGAAATTTACCCCTTTGGTGAAACCCACGAGAATGGTACGGTGCTGATAAACCTAGAAACATGATCAGGGCGAACTGGGATTCGAGCCCACGATCACAGGTTTCCGGCATGCCCAAGGGACGACCATGCCACCCCCACCCCCCTACATACAAGTGAGTTACCCGGGAAATAAACTGGATTTTGAAACTAAACCATACTTGCAAGGAATGCACGTACGCTCTAGACAAGACCCCTTCGCTTTTCACCTGATCGGTTCTATCCAGCTGTGTGTGAATACCACTTGTCCGTATTTACATGGCGCATATTTCTTAGCAATACAATCACTCACGCATGTGCACATACATGTATACATAGAGTTATACAACTCGATATCGACTCCGTGGACATTTTACGGGTTGGAATACGTTCCCAGCAAACTATGATTGTCGTACGAGACGACTACCGGTACATATGAATCGAGTGGTCAGACTAAGTGTCTTGGTGAGTGAGTGAGTGAGTGTGGTTTTACGCCGCTTTTAGCAATATTCCAGCAATATCACGACGGGGGACACTAGAAATCGGCTTCACACATTGTACCAATGTCGGGAATCGAACCCGGGTCTTCGGCGTGGCGAGTTAACGCTTTAACCTCTAAGCTACCCAACCGCCCCTTTTGTTCATGGACGACGGCGGGGTTCGTTGCACATAAAATCATTAACTAGTTTATCTGGTACAGACTCCATTATTTATAGACGCTCGCCATATTCTGTTGCGGTAAACAACAAAGAAACATTACGATATATGTGAGAATGCACGCCACTCAGAACAGCCAGCAATGGTTTAGACACCTTCCACTGAGAAACATGTACATGTGTCGCACACATACTGCATGATGTTTGTTTCTTTGTTTAATGCCGAACTCAGCAATATTCCAGCTATATGACGATGGTCTTTAAATAATCGAGTCTGGACCAGAAAATCCAGTGATTGACATCATGAGCATCGATCAGCGCAATTGGGATACGATGACACGCATCAACCAAGTCAGCGCGCCTGACCACCCGATCCCATTAGTCGCATCTTACAAGCATAGTCGCCTTTTACGGCAAGCATGGGTTGCTGAAGACCTATTCTAACCCGGATCTTCACGGGTCTATTGCATGATGAGTTGAGGTTGGTATAACATGAGGTTAAACGTCCCCTTCAAGATTGTCACGTGTGTTTGTGCGTGCGTGCGTGTGTGTGTCTACTTTTATGTGTAGTTTAATGTGGGTACCTTACTCAGACACAGTATACTGAACTCCGAGCCGACCAGGCCTTGTGTCATCCACGTATTGCCGAGCACCATGCAGGGTAACAACAAATACCATTTATCGTCTTTTCGTGTGACGGGATAAAACTATCGACTTTTCCCTCTCTGGTTAAGAGCTCCTTCCACAGACCACGGCGGCGATATGTTGCTTCATAAACATTATAATGGAAAGTGGCACCTTTACGTCAAACGATTACCTTATATGATATTGGTATAACCCTCCCGTTGCGCTCCACCAGGGAGTCAATTAGGAGATAAACCTACTGTGTTCTGAAATTTGAGGTTGGAACTGTCCAAGGCATCCTCATCCTTAATGAGTGAGCGTTTATGGTTTTACGCCGCCTTTTGCAATAGTCCAGCAATATCACGGCGGGGTCACCAAAGATTTTCTTCAAACATTGTACCCATGTGGAGAATCGAACCCGGGCCTTCCGGCGTCACGGCAGAATCCTTTAACCACTAGGCTACCTCACCGCCTCCTCAGGATGAGGATCAACCAGGATGTGGATCTAGAGACTACACTGCGTGAGTCCCATATAACCTATGTAGGTAATGGAATAGGCCGAGTGTAGCGGAATGCTGGGACAATTTGTGAAAAGCAGTGACTAGGCATTGAAAAGCCCATACAATTTCATTTATAATGTGATTGCATACTTGAGAACGCCTGAAGAACGTTTTATCCTTTAATGCCCTACCTTACCAGTGTTTACAATTTTCAAATAAATAACAATAACACAATAACACATATCTAATGACTACATACAACGAACCCCTGTTAATCCGGAAACTACAACTTCAGGGCGATTATTGTTTAGAACGTTTGCATATGTGACATACCGTATACCCATGATTCTATAATCTTATTCCGGGAGATTAAACTCGGAAGAGTACCGTCCGGATTAACGAGATTTAACTTTCAATAAACAAAATTTATACGTTCGAAATTTGTATTCAACTTGACTAGCGAGATACAGACAGCTAGACAGAGATAATGCGTTTCCCAGGGAACATTACTGACAAGGACGTTATAAGCCACATCGCACTAGTTATTAGACAAGGTTTGTCGCTGTGTATCTCCCCCTGATATGATTACATTCACTGGATGTGAAAAGAAAAAAGGTCATATTCAACCCGGAGAGGGAAAATATGCTAAAATACTGATAGAAGTCCATTGAAAAACCTTATTAGATAAACAGAGCAGTGTTGTGAAATGTATTTACAATGCCGTCACTGAATCTATTCACGTTACACCCATTGTCCGGCACTGCAATAACGCGGAATGAATGACAAACGTGCATGGAAACATAGAACTTACTATCCTGTATATTTCTGTTTATTGCTAAAGAGGTCATTGACAAAATGAAAAAAAAGCAAGCAATGACTATGTGTATCGATCTTCCAGTGACGGATTCGAAATCAAATTTCCATCGTCCTATCAAGTGTTGAGCAATATATATATATAAACACAATGCAACACATTTCCTGCCAGTACTATCCACGTGTACAAGATGATGTCATGAGACCCTGGAACACGGAAGTGAGAAACTCAACGTACAAGGAAAACATGAGGTACAGCTGAACATCCAGGTGGCGCCACGTAGCTGTTTGATTTGAAGAAGTCGGAATATGTAAACTGTTCCTCTGTCATTGTCTCATTTTCACCACGAAACTGTTGTCGGAATATACGTAACTACAGTGTACATGTAAGTTACCCATTGAAGGTTATTCTGTATTATGTGCATAATGCGCGAACACACACACGCACGCACGCACGCGCACACGCACACGCACACGCACACGCACACACACACACACACAGAAGACGAACTGAGGTTGACATGTCCTTTTTACAACCATGGACATCGAGTCATATACTTTTTCTCCCGTCTGTTCCAGGTAGCACCATGGACGTCATCATCAAGAAGTATGACCTCAAGAAGGGCACCGAGGCCCTTCATGACAAGATGGAGGAGGAACTCAGTGACTGGACATCCGAGAATCTTGATAATAGGGATTCAGATGACAAGCAGGATGAACCGATATCTAAGAAAGTAAAGACGCCGGTAGACAAGATGATGGTCCTGAACGCCCTGAAAGTCCTGCAGGGGAAGGTGTGTGTGGAGGACTTCCCAACAGTGGACTCGCCCGCAGGATCCATGGCCAAGACTGCCTTCGACATCATCTCCCGTTGTATAGAGTGAGCATATTTCATCTGTATATCTGACGTGTTCTAACATTAAAGAGAGAACAAGAGGAGGTAAAAAGGGTGTCGTTGCAAATTGTTCATTCAAGTTCCTCTTTGTTTGACCGTAAACTCTGATATAATTGTGCATGTCAATTCAGCAGCTAATGATTGCCTTAATTTCACAATGGCGACATCTCTGTTTGACGCCTTTATAATAAGTAGGGCCAATGCAGCATAGTCACTCCCAATACGAGTATACGGGGTATCTTCAACTTTAACATCGCTTCGCCATTGATGATTGTCTTTTCACTTGCCTTTCAATAGTCACTTAATCACTGAGGAGAATGCGGCACGCGAGGACTTTCACGAACCTCTCCTGGATTTCCTTCTGGGTCTCATCAGCTCTGGGCCTGGCACTACACACCTTGATCTGATACCGAGAGTCTTCCAGGACTCAAATGTCGACTTCAGGGAATATTTTCACGTGAGTTGAAAAATAATCCAGCAGCTATCACTAGGGCAGTTCTCAAATAGTGTTGTTAAGGACAGATTGGAGTTATTTATCAAATGTGGTGTAATAGATAACGGATTCTTATGTTTGTCAGACACTGGAAGGCACACTGCTGCAGAAAGTCCTGGCTGTGTGTAGACGGGAGTATAAAACGTTGGAGGAAAACACAGAAGACTATTCCAGACTGGTCACGAGTAACATGTGGTACATCATAGATAACGGAGTAACGTAAGTCCTAGAACGAATGTCTTTGTGTGTACAACCAGAGGACCTGGAACGAATGTCTTTGTGTGTACAACCAGAGGACCTGGAACGAATGTCTTTGTGTGTACAACCAGAGGACCTGGAACGAATGTCTTTGTGTGTACAACTAGAGGACCTGGAACGAATGTCTTTGTGTGTACAACCAGAGGACATGGAACGAATGTCTTTGTGTGTACAACCAGAGGACCTGGAACGAATGTCTTTGTGTGTACAACCAGAGGACATGGAACGAATGTCTTTGTGTGTACAACCAGAGGACCTAGAACGAATGTCTTTGTGTGTACAACCAGAGGACCTGGAACGAATGTCTTTGTGTGTACAACCAGAGGACCTGGAACGAATGTCTTTGTGTGTACAACCAGAGGACCTGGAACGATTGTCTTTGTGTGTACAACCAGAGGACCTGGAACGAATGTCTTTGTGTGTACAACCAGAGGACATGGAACGAATGTCTTTGTGTGTCCAACCAGAGGACATCGAACGAATGTCTTTGTGTGTACAACCAGAGGACCTGGAACGAATGTCTTTGTGTGTACAACCAGAGGACCTGGAACTAATGACTTTGTGTGTACAACTAGAGGACCTAGAACGAATGTCTTTGTGTGTGCAACCAGAGGACCTCGAACGAATGTCTTTGTGTGTACAACCAGAGGACCTGGAACGAATGTCTTTGTGTGTACAACCAGAGGACATGGAACGAATGTCTTTGTGTGTACAACCAGAGGACCTGGAACGAATGTCTTTGTGTGTACAACCAGAGGACCTGGAACGAATGTCTTTGTGTGTACAACCAGAGGACCAATAATGTGTTCCGGTATTGTCTGCAGATTATTTTGTTCAAAACAGTGTAACGTTGCACTTTCAGTGACGAGCAGTGTGTGGCCAACAGGGCGGAGTTTCTGGACCTGTACATGTACTTCCAATATGGCTTCCAAGACCGGGTAGAGGAACGTGACATGATGAGCACAATGGCTGACTGGATATACAGACATCTTGACAGCAATCCATTGCAGGTGGGTAGATGACAGGATGTGGGATATTGACTGACTGGATATACAGACATCTTGACAGCAATCCATTGCAGGTGGGTAGATGACAGGATGTCGGATATTGACTGACTGGATATACAGACATCTTGACAGCAATCCATTGCGGGTGGGTAGATGACAGGATGTGGGATATTGACTGACTGGATATACAGACATCTTGACAGCAATCCATTGCAGGTGGGTAGATGATAGGATGTGGGATATTGACTGACTGGATATACAGACATCTTGACAGCAATCCATTGCAGGTGGGTAGATGACAGGATGTGGGATCTTTACTGACTAGATATACAGACATCTTGACAGCAATCCATTGCAGGTGGGTAGATGATAGGATGTGGGATATTGACTGACTGAATATACAGACATCTTGACAGCAATCCGTTGCAGGTGGGTAGATGACAGGATGTGGGATATTGACTGACTGGATATACATACATCTTGACAGCAATCCATTGCAGGTGGGAAGATGACAGGATGTGGGATATTGACTGACTAGATATACAGACATCTTGACAGCAATCCATTGCAGGTGGGTAGATGACAGGATGTGGGATATTGACTGACTGGATATACAGACATCTTGACAGCAATCCATTGCAGGTGGGTAGATGACAGGATGTGGGATATTTACTGACTAGATATACAGACATCTTGACAGCAGTCCATTGCAGGTGGGTTGATGACAGGATGTGGGATATTGACTGACTGAATATACAGACATCTTGACAGCAATCCATTGCAGGTGGGTAGATGACAGGATGTGGGATATTGACTGACTTGATATACAGACATCTTGACAGCAATCCATTGCAGTTGGGTAGATGACAGGATGTGGGATATTGACTGACTGGATATACAGACATCTTGACAGCAATCCATTGCAGGTGGGTAGATGACAGGATGTGGGATATTGACTGACTGGATATACAGACATCTTGACAGCAATCCATTGCGGGTGGGTAGATGACAGGATGTGGGATATTTACTGACTAGATATACAGACATCTTGACAGGAATCCATTGCGGGTGGGAAGATGACAGGATGTGGGATATTGACTGACTGGATATATCGACATCTTGACAGGAATCCATTGCGGGTGGGAAGATGACAGGATGTGGGATATTGACTGACTGGATATATCGACATCTTGACAGGAATCGGTTGCAAGGTAATAGATAACAGGATGTGGGATATTGACTGGATATATACATATCACTTTGACATGAATCGGTTGCGGGTGGGTAGATGACAGGATGTGGGATATTGACTGACTGGATATACAGACATCTTGACAGGAATCGGTTGCAAGGGAATAGATAACAGGATGTGGGATTTTGACTGACTGGATATATCGACATCTTCAGGTAAATGCCTATGTTATACAGGCTGCATCAATATCAAGGAATAGATCGAAGATGTGAAACCTTCCTTACCCATTCTGTTCCAGGGAATCACAGACAGGACAGTGTACGTTACTTTTCTAAATCGTCTTAGAGAGTTGTTGTTGGCGGAGGGCTTTCCACAGAGCAGGGATGACGCCAGTCGGATTGAGGAGGGATTCAAGATATTGTTTGGTGGCATACGGTAAGACTTATTTTAAACTCAATAACCCATGTAAAATCTTCATCAGTATCATTTTTATCAACTGTTTAGAATATCATATCTTTGTTACATTAGTGTTTGACGTTTATTTCAGTAATACATAGTTTCATGACATCTAAGTGTGCAGGCACTATACAACCGACATTCGTTCGAATTAGTTCAATAACGCGCTACACGACTCTATGTAAGTGCAATAATCTTGAACAAAACCTCATTTTAACTTCACCTTTGCTTTGAGATTTAATATAAGAAGGAAAATGCATATGTAGGTTAAAACAGATTGTCTACTCTCCACATGTTGTTAAAACTTTATAAGTTTCTACAGTGTTTTGTTTTCCTTAATGCCCAAATGGCATCACAAATATGGAATTAACAGATGTACACCCTTGGCATAATTTCTTATCATCGCATGATGATTATTCCTTCTCACAGTCAATTCTATTTGCACAAATTATATGAATATGGTGTAAAATATACATAAATTTGAAAAGAAAAATATTTTGTCGAGCTATTGGTTATTATTATCTACGCAAAACTACTTTTTACACATTCATTTTGATTCAGTTGTTATATCTCAGGACCGCCTCCGTGGTCGAGTGGTAAAGCGTCCGCACAGAGAGCGCAGTGTCCGGAGATCTATCCCCGACCGCGTCATACCAAAAGACGTTAAAGATGGTACTTGTTGTTACCCTGCCTGGCGATCGGCATTAAGGGGATTGGTCGGCTCGGAGTCATTATACTATGTCTGAGTGGGGTATTCCTGTTAAACTGCGGCATGGTATCTCTGTTGGCTAGCATTATAAAGACGGCATAAGTCCGGACCAGTACAAGCAGACACACACATGTATGTGCATGCACGTCGTTATATAAGTGCAATAATCTTGGACGGGACGCTAAACCCCATTTCGCATCACCTTGGTTATATCTCAGTTATTGGTCTCAAACTCAGAGAGTGGGTGACATACAAAGTATTCTTTCAGTCATAGCAAATCTGGCAAATCTTTTCTCTTGATTTGTTTATAGCAATGCCGAAATCTTCAACGAGGTTTGCGATGAGCTCATGGACTGTGCTGTTGCGATATTTGACAAGAAGGCAGGCAAGCTGGTACACTTGTTGGTTGAAGCCTTCGGGGACTTGTTCAGGGACGTAAAGAAGAAGCAGCTGACGGTGAGGTCACGTGGGTTGTTAACCCTTATACTACAAGTATTTAACATTGAGTTTATCTAACACCACTTCAACAGTATTGTAGTTATATCGCTACTTGTGGTTTAATGTTGGAAGAAATGGTTGGCATTTACCATTATTGAGAAAGCCAGCATACGGCAGTAACGACAGACCAATGATCTAATAGGTCTTTTTTGTTTTTTGTTTCAACGCAACTAATGCTTTTGCAATATTCTAGCTAAATGGCGTCAGTCTGGGTAAGACAATCCAGTGATTGACATTATGAGCATCGATGAACGCAATTGAGATACGATGACATCAAGTCAGGGATCCTAACCACCCGATCCATTTGTCAGCGCTTACGATAAACATTGGTTGATGGGGGGCTACATTCTAACCCAGAATCCCAAACGGTGTTATTGGTGTGCATCTTTGTAATTCAGAGAGTCGGAAGGCCATACAGCACTGTGAGTACCGCTCTGGTTGAAATAATGGAGGGTTGTTGGGTACATACACGTCGTAAGCTATATAACAGATAATGTGGTCCTGCTGGACATCTTGCAGGGAAACGGGAAGATGTTTGAGAGCACATGTCAGAAGTTTGTCCACATTGTCGAAACAGTGAAGGACCACAGTCTGCTGGGGGTCTCGTTTGTGGCTGGTGTTGTGTCCAACATTCTCGTCAATACAGCGGACAGGTGAGTTCTACTCTCACTGGGGCACCTTGCGACGTCAGGCAACAAACGCGTTTTACTTCTAATGACACTTGTTTGAGTGGCGAGTGATATAAGTAGAGCAGGACATGCTTATCCTTTCAGCGAACAACCGGTGTCATCACTAATTGTCAGTGATTCCTGCATATACTTTTCATCACTCTTTTGCCTTTTACGCCTAATGGGGTTTGTTAGGCAGATCCGAGATATTCTCTGGTATCGACGTTTTGAAATTGTGTAAGAAAATTCCATTTACATTGATGCCCGATTTTTACTGTTCCCAATGAAATCGCATAATACACGGTGAACAAATTGCCGAAAATAGATACGTCGTATATATCAAAATAGGAAAATACCTCCTCTGTGTGTTCGATTTCATATTAAATTTGGCAGAGTCAAATCCACGAGTAAGCTCGACACAGTGTGTTTCCATCTTAATTAATTTACATGGACGTTCCTGTAATCACCCTGATGCGTGACCCCGGACTGACCAGTTTCGGATTAACCGTATCTCACTGTACTATCAAATACGTACTGTAACTGTCACTTACTATGCCTTGACATGTTGCTGTGTGCGAACACGAGACGTCTGTTTACGATTCTTAGCAACAGTTCTATATCCAGGTCGCCAGGTCACGGAGTATTGTTGCTGAACCTCATTAGTGTCCTCGTGCGGGTGCCCCTGAAACAGACAGTGAGGGCAGCTGATGTTGCTGTCCGCAAGAATGGGAAAACTATTCCATGGAAGGTAGAATGTTCGGAACAGTTGGTTGACATGACCACATCACTGTGACAGTGTCTTATCGGTACCATTTCGCGTTTTAAATATCAAGACGGTTCTTCGGGTCACATTCCAACTAAGCCAGAGAAGTAAGTAAGGGTAGGATATATGGATGAACAACTTCTATATTGTAATTAAGAGCGACGTTTCTGTGTAGGTTCTAACATCGTTATCCATCAAGTAATGTACATAGTATCGTTGACAAACATATATACAGGTATGAGGCTGTGTTTATACAGTTGAGTAAATGCAATGTCCTCCTAACTGTAATAAAGAAGTTGTTCACCCATATATTTTATCCCTACTTAGTACCAGAACTTCTAAATGCCTCTCAAAGACTTTAATCTAGAGAATTCATCCTCTCGGTGCCATTTCTCCAATAGAAATACAGAGTATGTAAGGATTAGATTGGGGTTTTGTGTGGAGATGGGTGTGTTGATTCGGGTTGAGATACTTTGTGCTTATTTGGGTTGTGGTGTTTTGTGCTGATTTGGGTTGGGATGTTTGTGCTGATTTGGGTTGGAGTGTCTGGGCTGATTTGGGTTGTGATGTTTGGGCTGATTTGGGTTAGAGCGTTTGTGCTGATTTGGGTTGGAGTGTTTTGTGCTGATTTGGGTTGGGATGTTTGTGCTGATTTGGGTTGGCGTGTTTGTGCCGATTTGGGTTGGAGTGTTTGTGCTGATTTGGGTAGGATTGTTTGTGCTGATTTGGGTTGGGATGTTTGTGCTGATTTGGGTTGGCGTGTTTGTGCTGATTTGGGTTGGAGTGTTTGTGCTGATTTGGGTTTGTGTGTTTGTGCTGATTTGGGTTGGGAAGTTTGGTGCTGATCTGGGTTGTGGTGTTTTGTGCTGATTTGGATTGGGGTGTTTTGTGCTGATTTGGGTTGGAGTGTTTTGTGCTGATTTGGGTTGATGTGTTTGTGCTGATTTGGGTTGGTGTGTTTGTGCTGATTTGGATTAGGATGTTTTGTGCTGATTTGGGTTGGGGCGTTGTGTGCTGATGAATGTGCTGATTGGGGTTGAGGTTTTCTTGTGCTGATAGGTGCTGAGATGTTGTGAGGTTTGTGCCGATTTGGGATTGAGGTTGTGGTGACTGGGGTAGAGGGTGTATTGTTTTTGAGAAGACACACTCACTTGGTAACACTTTTGTGATTTAGGAACACAGCGATGCAGCCATGGAGATCTTTGACATCGTGATGTTGAACATGGCCAGTACGGAATGCAAGGCAGTGGTAAAAGAGTACGCAGATTTTGCTGTAACGTTCCTGAACCAAATCAAGTAGGTTTAATCATTGCACACTTCTACACAATCGATGTTTATTTGAATATATTATTTAACCATATCCAATAGTCCTGTTTGATACAAAACACTGACATTTACAGGAAGTTTCGTTTTCACGTGGTAAACGGGAAGATTGTGTGCTTTGTGCTTGATGTCCTAAAGTCGAAGAAACGTAAACAGCGCGGACTAGCTCGAGAAATGACACAAAGTATAGAGTTTGATCCAAAGGTGAGGAACATCACTGTTTAATAGTTGAGTGAGTGTGTGAGTTTGGATTAACGCCGCTTTGAACAGTATTCCAGTTATATCTCGGCGTGTGAGCTTAATGTGGAAGGAAAGCCCGATGTGATGCAGGTCTCAGACGTTTAGCACTTTGTTGAAACCCACGAGCCTGGTGCTGACAAACCTAGAACCATAATCGTGGCGAACCGGGATTCGAACCCACGATCATAGGTTGCCTACGTGTCCAAGGAACGCAACTCTGCATAGCGAATTGCAGCGTTCTAGACAACTGGGCCACCCGTGACCCCCTTTAATGATTCGGCATTTAACCTTTTTGTCTCCCTCTTTTGTTTGGATGGCGAGTTTCGAAGTTAGAACATTAGTTCAGCTGAGTATAGACGTGTCAGCTGTATTTGAGAGGAAAGCCTTAATAAATTTTTGTAGTGGCGCTTACTATTTCAAAATGAACAAACTGGTACGGGAAATCTAGCTCCCAGGCCAATGAAAATAATCGTAGACCAACGGATCCAAGGAATTAAATCTTTGGCGTAACTTTGTATAGTGTTTCGGCGATTTTGACCTAGCATAATCGACTCGTAGCGATGACGAAATTAACATTGTGTGTTACTCGTAGAAGAAACACATTTCGCCATGGAGGGTTGTCAGAGTTACCGCCCTTATGGGGAAAAAGAAGAAGAGGAACGTGTGGAAGAAAAATAACCCGTCATGAAATGAGAAGACAAAGCTTTGGGGCTGGGGACGGGCTGGTTTGGACAGGGATACTTTACTTCACGTAAATCACTCCATTATCCCTAACTGACATGTGTTATTAATGTTGATAAGCTTGAAGAACCATAACTGTGGTCTTATATTTTTCCAGTTCGAGACTTGCAACCATTTGTCACAGTAATGATCTCATTGACGGCATTTAAAGTATATATGCAACTGATTGTAATTTGCTACCTCCGCCTTTTCATTTCAGAAGGATAAGAGCTTGATCGTGGACGTGTTTCGGGAAATCGACTCGTTACTTGTGGATGAAAATCATCAATGGCTGAGTGATACCTCTGACCTTGTAGAGGATCTGGCAGAGCGTGCAGTTGAAAGTATAAAGTGTGTATAGAAGCATTACTGGCACAACGCTCGAACTGCACATTACAGCATTGTTTGTTTGTTTGTTTGTTGCACTAAGCAATATTCCAGCTTTATGACGGCGGTCTGTAACTATTCGTGTCTGAACCAGACCATCCAGTGATTTATATCATGACCATCGATCTACACAACTAGGATACGATGACATGCATTAACCAAGTCAGCGAGCCTGACCACCCGATCCCGTTAGTGGTTTCTTACGACAAGCATAGTCGCTTTTAACGGCAAGCATGGGTTAATGAAGACCTATTTTACCCCGGATCTTCACGGGTCCCTTACAGCATTGAATAATTAGAGGTTATCTGATAAGTATTTAACTTATTCGCTAAAATGAATGGATTTATCACAACACGTCCCGCAAGTGATCATGCAAAGTGTGGGCCACTGCATCTTGATAATGCCTTCATTTTGCCTGACGGCTGGTTAACACATCCCGTTGCCTTCTGACGTCACATCATTATCATTTGTAGAAACAAATGATTTTTCGGACTGTTCAACTGCCTTCGTCGGGTAGTCGGGCTTCTGCAAATGATAATGCCTTCAGAAATAGCGCTACCCTGACCTTGGTTAGCTTATGTCAGTGAGTGAACACTCGCGTCGAGACAAAACACTGGTTGACAGCCCGACTAACGACTCACGTCGTCTGGGTACAATGACACACAGTTATACTTTGCGCCAACACGATCATCCAATTAATCGGTTTTACGAGGCTCTGGTGTATGGCAAGCCGTGTTCACATATATTACGGAATAACAGATATCTTCAATTGGTTTGAAGATATCGGTATTTTATTTAAAGATAATGTTTTAAGATATCAAAAAAATAATTGAAGATATCTTAAATTCATTTCTGATATCCATAATACAATTACTGATATCTTAAAATGTCACGGTGATATCAACAAATTAGTTTGTGATATCTCTAAATGTATTTAAGATATCATTAAACAATTACCACCCTACTGTACATAAATATATTAGAAATAAATTCAAGATATCTTAAATTCAATGCAAGATATCTTGAAATAAGTTATACATATCTTCAAATGCATTACAGATATCATTCATTCGTTTTAGATATCTTTCATTCAATTAGAGATATCTTTAATTCGATTCAAGATATAATTAATTCTGACCATCCAATTAAAGATATCATTAATAATTTTGATGATATCTTTTTTGCAATTATTGATATCAGTTATCTAATTTAAGTAACATTATTAATGTAACGTTAATAATGGCAACAATTAAAGATATCAATAATTAATTATTGATATCTGTATTTAGTTTCAAGATATCAGGAATTGAATTACTGACATCATAACAAAACATGACATTTTGATATCTTTAAATCATATTTTGATATCAATAATCGAATTTAAGATATCACATTTATTACGAAATTACAGATATCTTCAATTCTTTTCAAGATATCAGTAATACGCTTCACCATATCCTTAATTCATTTCGTGACATCTTAAATTTTATTGCAGATATCTACAATTATCTGTATTTAAGATATCTTCAATTCCATTCACGATATCTTCAATACAATTGACGATATCTTCAGGATATCTTAAAAAGAATTGAAGATATCTGTAATTTCGTAATAAATGTGAAAACGGCTTGCCATACTGGTGACCTTTTCTGCCCTGGCCTACAAATATGGTCAAATACTTGTGGTGATTTTCATCATCATCCAAAAACTGGCTGCCACAGGAGCGATATCACTGCAGCAAATTGCATCACAATGCTTTGCAGACCATTGTGACGTCATCGGTTGTCTTTGAAGCTGGAATACTGCACAGTTTAAACCTAAGACAGTGTTTATTACTGTTTTACGAACTGAAAAGTTGGATGAATGACTTTGGATGATAAATGCAATCTCACCCTCGTGTGCTTTGAATAGATATATCAACACTCGTCCATAAAAGTCCAAAACTCATCTGCATGCCTTGAAGTTTTAAACTTTTATTGACACGTGTTGATAAATTTGATATCACAAAATATTCCTGCGAAATTCTCTGTCTGTACATTTTTCACAAACATTGTCAACGTTCAATTTCAATTTCAAGTTGAAGCCTGTTGCCCTTTGCACGCTGGAAGAATGTCTTCAATATATGAAGCTGTCAATTTTGTTTCACGAATACCCATTGATTAGCTCTTGTGAGGGCAATGGTGGCTCAGTCGTGAATTCGCTGTGCAGAGTTGCGTCCCTTGGACACACCAGAAACCTATGATCGTGGATTCGTATCCAGGTTCGCCCCGATTATGTTTCTAGGTTTGTCAGCACCATACTGTGCTCGTGGGTGTCACCGAAGTGGTAAATGTTTAGGACCTGCATCACTTCGGGCTTTCCTCCCACATCAAGCTGACACGCTGTGAAATAACTGGAATACTGTTCATAGCGGCTTGAAACCTAACTCACTCACTCACTCACCAAATCATTTAGCTTTTGTAACAGGAATGATGTTAGGTCCTTGTTACAGACACGGCAGCTCCCTAGAAGAGGCAGACTATAAGGTCGTCATTTCTATCATCCAGAAGGCCTTAAGCAATCAACATGCAACACCTGGGACTGACGATGTACCAACTAGTGTATACTTTACGCTATATTGTAAACTAACACCACCTGTTCTCAAGATGGTGAGTAGCTACAGAATCTCAAATTATACTCACTAGCCAGATTGAAGACTCAACTAGATTCGGATCACTATGTTGCAACACAATCTACTATGCTATAAATTATGTCATGACATATTTAAACATATTTTTCTATTCAATAAGAAACAAAACAAATTATTTTTACTAGTTGACATTCCTTTCTCAACTGATTCGACCCATATATATGTTTTTTGTTTATGGGTGAGACTGAAACAATGCTGTTCGATTGATCGCATTTTTTGTCAAACAATGTAGGTTTTTAGAAGAAAAAAAATAATTTCACACCCGAAGACATGTACGTACTTTAAATTTTTTATCATACTCACAAAGAAAATTGTGTAAAATAATGTCGAAATCTACGTATAAATATGGACAAAACAATTTACCATTCTTTTGCTAAAGGGATTATTTTTCTGGAATATCTGACTGAAGAAAGATTGTCGCTTCCTGATCCACATCCAACTCTAATGATTTGTAACGTAGTATCTGGTGTCCAGTGTGAGTCAGACGTGGAGACTTGTTTCAGCTTGACGACATTCACCATTCAGACTGGGCACTACCAATCCTTGGTGGAACTATCGACCTCTTGACCAGTGACTCGGAACTTGTCCGGATGCTTGCAGGAGCACAGCTGATGACCGTGTGTGGACAATCTGCGACTCTACTGGTGCCACTGATGGATCAACTTGTCAGTGCATTCTTCAACATGGAGTCATTTCAATTGAGTTGTATGTTGTTTTCTCTTCCTCATAAACATGGGACGTAACTGAGTTAGACTTTATGATGATAATTTACCATGTTAATTGCTGATTTAACTTAATGAAGAGATATTATTAAATATCTTGATGTAAAGTTTCTTGTCACGGTTGCTATATATAAACTAAAAGCGACACAACCCTTTCCATAATGATAAGTCCGACTATATCATGAGCATTTGTTTATGAATTACTATAAGGTAGTAATGATAGCAGGCGTGCCCTTCTCCACCAGTGGGATGCGTCACAAACACATGCAAAGTCAAGTAAATTTTCTTTTGTGACACAACACAGGAACATAAGGCATAAGTCAAAAAAGAGAATTGCCCGTGTGACAAACCAAGGATCATAGTGGGACGAATTTGGAAGTCGAACAGGCTTTAAACAGATGCTGACACAACTAAGGGAAGCAGCTCAGAAAAGCAATATAAGACGCCTTTGATCACTTGGTAATATTGTTATTCACGTTAACTTAACCTATTAATTATTCAAAATTAATATTAAATTATTTTTATTTTGCTATTATATGATAATTATTCTTGGGTAGTGGGTAGGTCACTACACCTTGTGTTATGTCTTCAGATGTCATCATGACGGTATACCCTCACAACCCAGGACCTGTTAACGACCATTTCCAGCAATTCATGGAGTACCACGATACAGCAGATCCAACGAGCAAACTCTATCTCCTGATGCTGTTCAAGGACGTGGCCAAGCTGCACCCCGAGGTAGGCATAGTGAAATGTCTTAAAACGTAATCGATTACTTCTTTGGCATGTGTAGTTCATCAAACATCTTGCGTATTATGGGCTATGACCTTTTTATTGAATAAACTGTCTGTCTGTCAGTCTGCATGGTGAAATACATAGAAGTTCATGAATGCCCGAGATGCACGTGCACGTTCCGGGTCATCCTGGGTATTCAGGACAAAGTGTTTGTACATGTGATCATCATGCATGATTCTGAAACATCCATGTCAATTATATTTTAATGTGATTATTTATGGTGCACAACATTTTTTCCCACTTGTATATACAAGGTTTAGACATTCTATAACATCAAAAATGCCTGATAAAGTAAACGAAAATGACCACGTTTGGAAGTATTTGCCTATGGTTGGTTGGTTGGTTTGTTGTTTAACGCCGCACTCAGCAATATTTCAGCTATGACGGCGGTCTGTAAAATAATTGAGTCTGGACCAGACAATCCAGTGATTAATATCATGAGCATCGATCCACGCAATTGGGATCGATGACATGCATCAACCAAGTCAGCGAGCCTGACCACCCGATCTCGTTAGTCGCCTTTTACGACAAGCATATTGTCCTATGGTCGCTGTACAAAAGCAAAAACGAAGATTTATTCAGATGGCACACATTGTTCACTCCAAACATTTCCAAAACCACCATGAGACAACAGTTGTTATGGGTTACCCAGTCATTTCTTCCGTTTGAATCATATGACATCATCTTGTTGTAACATTGTCCTTCATATCTCGATCAAGGTATTGTAAGGAGTTGCAACCAGTACTGACTTACATCAAGGTGTGGTTATATACATATTAGAAATCTACCACATTTCCCATTAGACATTGTACAAGATCTGTTCATTGTAACTTATATCACCAAACATCTGTATGCTAATTCGTTTATGAAAAATATAGAGGATAAAAATGGACTAATGGATATACATGATGGTAATTAGACTTAATAGAAACTGGCATTTCCTCGTCACCGATATCGTTACTTATGATCTTAACACGAAAAATAGAATTCACTACATGTTTAGTTTGTTTGTTTGTTGTTTAACGTCGCACTCAGCAATATTCCAGCTATATGACGGCGGTCTGTAAATAATCAAGTCTGGACCAGGCAATTCAGTGAATGACAACATGAGCATCGATCCACACAATTGGGATGCGATGACATGCATCAATCAAGTCAGCGAGCCTGACCACCCGATCCCGTTAGTCGCCTCTTACAACAAGCATATTCGCCTTTTATGGCAAGCACGGGTTGCTGAAGACCTATTCTACCCCGGATCTATCTTCACGGGTCTCATTGCATTTGTTCAGACATTTTACATACAAACTGTTCAAACGTTCCCCCTTTAACATACAACATCAACGCCAAAGAACAATCACAGTCTCGATCTTCCTAAGGCAGATTCCATTTGGCGTAAAAGGCAAATGAGCGATGAGCGATGAAAATTAGATGAAAGGATCAATGAAAATCAGTGACGACACCAGGTGTTCACTAAAAGGGTAAGCATGCCCTGCCCTGGCGGTAGCACCAGTCATGATTTCCATGATTATGTTATGTTGTTGTCGATATACACTTGAAGGTCTACTGTTGTTGAAGTTGTTTACAGAAGATAACCTGGCAGTCCTCCTCGCTGACGCCAAGGCTGATGTGAACAAGGCAACAACTATAATCCCGGTGTTGGAGGAAGTGGCCAAGAAACATCCCGGCAAGCTGGGCGACCTCCTGCCCCAGCTGATGGAGGATGGCTATGTGGAGTACGCTAAACCATTGCTGATGAATGTTCTCAAGCAGATCGGAGTTAGGTCCACGGTGTGTAGAAACCGTTATTTTATTATACATAATGCGACCTGTGCCGTACACAGATGGCGAACACTTTATCAAGAAATATCAGATAGCTACGCCATAAATCGCAAATAGCAATAAAGAACGAATAGTAGTTTAACATTGTTCGATTATGACGTCATTTCTGGAAATTCGAACGTGCGCTCGCAAATTGATGACGCTGTAAATAGGACGAATATATTTCTGAGCTCGAAGTGTCCAGCGAGTTGTTCCCCTCAGATGTAGCTTGGTAACGCAGATAAACGCAATGGCCAAACGATTGCATTCAAAAGTGGAAGTGATATCAAAATCGGTATTGGGATATAAGGTACAAATAATGTTATTTGTATTCCTTGTAAACCTTTGAGGACTGTTTTCCAGAAATATGCTGAGCCTATCATGGACTACTATGCCAGGGTCCTTGATGGTCCCGAGGAACAGATGTTGTTTTTGTGTGTCATGGACGGTATGCGGAACGTGGGTGGCGCGCACGTCTGTCTGTTAGTCAAACACACGGCCTTGCTGAGGAGGGTGCAGGACAGAACCCAGATTCAGGATGTCAAGATGGGAATAACGGGACTCATAGATATCGCAGAGGGAAGGAGGTACACTATTCCCATTTCAGTCAAGTATAACCTGTGAAGTGTAAGAACAATAAGTTGCATGAGGGAAATACTTATTCATGTGTCCAAACTATGAAAGAGTGCATTGAAGACATTCATGGGGGAGAAAGACTATACTTAGGAAAATATACAATATTTTTTTTCATTCTTCTACACTCGTATTTTCCAGTTTAACAACGTTATCTGCCGATATCAAAGACACCCAAGGTGAAGTGCAAGACCTTGATGTCAAGGTCATCAATGCTCAGGAGGAGGTGAAGGTCGTGTCACAGGAAGTGGACAAACAAAAGGAGCAGCTAGAGACGGTAAAGACAGACATGGAATGTCAGGGCAAGAGGGTAGACGACCTCGAAGTAACTGTAGACGAGACTGTGGCCAAGGTCGAGGTGATCGATGGAAAGGTCAGATCATATTCCTAATATTTGATTCCAATCGATGTTTTTAAGAAGTTTTCCAATGTAAAAACAATGTATAAGAATTATTTTAAGATGTAGCAAAACACTCCCGTTGCACTAATATGAAGCAGGTTGACAGCTCCTTCCGTGGACATACCTATGATACTCTCTTCTGATATTGTCATAGGATCTAATAGAATCCTGGACATTGGTAGTGTTAGGGTTTTGCATGATCAGGACCACTGAATTCTAGGGGCAATACATACACCATACTCCCTCCAGTGCCTGTGTTGTCTATCATGGTTAGTCGCGTGAACACCATTCCAGCCATACACTATTCATTGCTTACAATGTTTGCTCATAGCATTGCAATAATTTAGAATGATTCAAGGTAATCTTTTGATATTTCCAGGGCGTGGTTGAGGCTAGGAATATCATGGTACGCTTGATTACACGTTAGATGAATCAATTCTTCAAAATCATTTGTAAAACATTTAATTTAGATATTCCGAAAGCCAAAGACATGATTTCTTATTGTATGGGGTTTTGTTATTCATTTAATATATACATGCTAATGTTCGTTGGCTATTGTTTAGACCCTGAGTCATGCTCCCTTCTGGTCCAGAGATGTCTCCAAGCTTCTCAACCCCAAGGGGGACCACGACTGGAGGTTGCTGTCAACTCGCCTGGGTTACAACAACGACGACACCCGAGGCTGGGCCCAGCAACATGATCCCTGTATGGCCCTGTTGAATGAGTGGTACGCCACACGTAAAACCAGCGAGGCTTCCTATGCTGTGTTGACGGCTCTACAAGAGATGAACCGGATGGATGCCGCCTCTATTGTGGAGAATGCCATGAAGATGGCAGGTATGTGTATGATTTTTTCACACTGTAAGACTATCTATGATATCCGAGGCCCGAAGGATGAACCCAGATCAATAGAAAATAATTAATTTTATTCCATTTAAAACTATAATCATTATATTGCTATGGTATTTACTGCAATTATGTCAATGGGTCATTTATCATCAAACTATGAAGATCCGTCTTTTAACAGAGACTGTGGTCGAGGATCAACATTCATTTATTCACCTGCCAGCTTCTTTAATTTTTAATGTATATGCATACTGTCAATTCACAGAGACTGTAGTCGAGGATGAGCCGTTCGAGTATGCCTCCCCTCCAGCCGTCTTCATCAGCTACCAGTGGGGAATCCAGAACGAGGTTAAGCTGCTGAAGCGCCATCTGGAGATGGCGGGCTACGAATGCTGGATGGACATTGGTCAGATGGGAGGAGGAGACAAGCTGTTTGAGAAGATTGACCAGGGAATCAGGGGATCCAAAGTTATCATCAGCTGTGTGACGCCGAAATATGCAAAGTCGACCAACTGTAACAGGGAGGTAAGAAACATCAAATATAGCGTGTTAAAAAGATATCAATTAGACTTAACTCAACCATTTTGATCCACAGTGGTAAGATGTTGGCAATCCAAGTACACAAATAATCACACGTTTTTTATTTTCCTCAGGTAAATTTGTCAGTGAGTATGGGTCGCCCCATCCTCCCCCTCCTGATGGAGAAACAGACATGGCCACCAGCTGGCTCCATGGGCCCCATCTTCAGCGAGTACCTGTTCATTCGCTTCTTCACTCGGCCAGGAGAGGAGACTGGGGATGACAGATACTGGTCGGCGGCCAAGTTCCAGGAGCTTCTCATGCAGCTCAACTACAACGGCATCGTGCCAGATGAGGCCAAGGTCATGAAAGGTGTGTTACTTTAGCGGATCAAAACACCTAGTCTCTGATATTTTTCGAATATACGGATTGGACAACATATCAACATCTTTTTTCAGAATATAAAAAGTGGTGGGTCCCTGTTGTTGAAGATATCAAGATAGACAAGAAAAAGGCAGGCAGCAAAGGGGAGAAATCTCAAACTACAGAGACAACAGAGGTGATATACCTGGCTTTATATTTCTAGATATTTAGAAAATAAATCGTTTTCCTGTGTAGACTTAGTCAAATGATGAATTTGCAAGTACATATTGTTTCATATAATGTGTCCGATGTCTGTTTACAGTCCTATGTTCAAACTGCTTTGTCATTTCATCATAGGTGGCTCCCGTGTCCCCTGACGTGTTCATCTCCTACCAGTGGGGCAAACAGAAGCAGATCATGCTCCTCTACCGACGTCTTACCAGCCTCGGCTTCTCCTGTTGGATGGACATTCACCAGATGGGAGGAGGGGACTCCCTCTATGACAAGATCGACCGGGGAGTGCGAGGCTGCAAGATCATACTTTGCTGTATAACCACCAAGTATGCCCTGTCTGCCAACTGCCGGAGGGAGGTCAGTCTTGCTGATGCCCTGAAGAAGCCAATAGTTCCTCTGTTACTGGAGAAGATAACATGGCCTCCTTCCGGTCCCATGAGCATGGTGTTCACTCAGCTTCTCTACATCAACTTCTCCAAGGACGAAAGTGTACAAGAGAAATGGACAGGCAAGGAGTTCGATGAAATGGTTGGCAAGATATATGACTATGTTCCGGCTATGATTTCAACTGATCAATGTGATGATTCATCTGGCGCGAAATGCGAATTTTCAGATACCGTTTCAGATCTGAAGAAAAAGCCCTTGAATGATGGAGATGGCCATGCCTCTAATGTCAACGGTCATGGTAACGATGAAGAAAAGAATAAGCCCGAGACTGTTGACGAAATGTTGAACAAAACAGTCTCAACGATGGATTCCCTGGTGGATCATAATGACTTTATTGCAAGTCCTGAAGGCGATTCCAACAAGGCAAATACGGAGGTGAATACCACTCCCCCAACACTATCACTGGAATCTAGATCGAGATCATTTCCACAGAGGCTTCGTGGGATCCAAAGACCTAAATTTCTAAAATCGTGTACAATATTGTAATGTTTTATATACTTCAGTGAAGTATTGGGAGTTATATTTTCTTACAAGAGTTACCTCCCCGCAAATTATCCCCCTTAATCGTAAGTGTCTTCTGCTGGAAAACAGCATCTTTTCGAGGCTCACTCAGTTTCCACTGGATTTTATAGTCAGTTAACTCCCCTGCCTCGGGAAGATGGAAAAACAGAAGATATTCGATTTTCTATTTCGTTCCACGCTGACCAGACCAAATAATGACAGATGGTCATTTATATTGAGTTAATATCGGTACTTACCGTTTGTTATTTTCATGAAAAGGTTTTGTTATTAACTGTAATTATCGCATTTAACGCGTCATTCAAGGCATATTGTTTCACACAGCGTCGTTTTGTTACTTGACCAGCATGTATTCATTCGCAGATTTCAAGAATATTTTTTGTTGAAGATGATTTTATATATAATCATATTAAAATGTATGATAAAGACTTTCGTTGAACTCAAATATTTTTTCGTACATTTATTTATATTTTAATAAAAACCAGACAAACATAGAAACATAATCGGAGCGAACCTGGATTCCAACCAACGATCATAGGTTTCTGCGTGGCCAAAGGAATTAAGGCGCCAGTTAACTTGGCCACCCGTGTCCCCATCCAGCATCGAACACGTACAGACGTGACTACAGTAGTGTACTGACCGAAACAGCGATAACTCGAACTCACTCCCTACTTCTTGAACACCGCTGTGTCCCTCTCAACACCGCGAACAACACTGTGTGGCCACCCGGCATCATAACAAAGCACATCACAACACTATACCTCTTTATGGATTATTAGGGGCGGTCGGGTAGCCCTTGTGGTTAAAGCGTTCGCTCGTCACGCTGAAGACCCGGGTTCGATTCCCGACATGGGTACAATGTGTGAAGCCAATTTCTGGTGTCCCCCGCCGTGTTGTTGCTGGAATATTGCTTAAAGCGGCGTAAAACCATACTCACTCACTCTTTATGGATTATTGCTGAGGTGACATGTTTTGCGTCCTGTGCAGTGACACTGGCCAGGCATGGGCACTGTGTAAAAAGTGTGAAATGACGCCACAGAGCTATACAGACATGACTGTATGCACCAGGATTGTGTGATACTGTTGCTGATTGGTGATCGTTACATCAATACTCCGGTACAGCTTTGTTTCTGGAGACTCTTCAAAAGTATTGACTGACGTGTTCATTGGCTGAATACCATCACCGTCCTGCAGTGCCATAATGGTTGCTAGGATACTAGTCACTAAGATTGTTGTCTATTATGGCATTGACTTACTTACATAAATGCCGGGGGTTGCAGTGTTACCAAATGGTTATATAAGGAAAGCGAATCAGTTGGTGAATAAGGAAAGAGTAATAATCCAAAGATATAAACTAATATCATAAAGGGAGAATGACATAATGCGCCTTCAAAACAAGTTCCTGAACGTTTAATTAAGAATACGAGAAATATGTATGAGTGTCAAGTTATCGTAACATACTGGTACGAACGGGATAATGTGTGTGTGTGTGTGTGCGTGCGTGCGTGCGTGCGTGCGTGCGTGCGCGCGTGCGCGTGTGTGTGCATGCGCAGGTCGTAGGGTACCCCCTGCTCTTCTTCAGCTGCAGGTACCCAATGCAGATTCTGACAATATGTGATCTTGGTGATTGTGTGAAATCGTTACCCGACGGTATGGACCGTTGCTCATTACCAGGCTGTCTCAGGACGTTTTTGGTGATGTAACATTAACTACAAGGGGCGATTCATCGTGTTCGCCCATTCATGCTGGCTTGAAACCCCCGTTGTGATGAGACAGTTGCAGCTGCAGGTCACCATCAGTATGCTTGTTTCAATGCCATGCAGCCAAAACATATTTATCTCACCAATCTGGTCCCTTCCCTCACATATATCGCAGTGTCAATGCAACTGTCCATTCATACCATTCATTGCAAGTGCGGTTGCCTCCCTGTGATTACCGCAACACACATTTTCCTTGTACAATGTTGTGAGTGATATTGTCGAACAGTAACAAAACAACAATGAGTAGCATTTACACCGGACGAAATACGTGTAGGTCACTTTGAAAAAATGTCTTTGTCCTGTTTTCAATATGTGTGTTTACATACATGGATACACACTTGGCATGATCTTTGGCCTCGGGTGATATTGTGTTATCAAAGGAAATGTTGCCCATGGGAACACGACCAGCACACTCTTCCTGAAATTAATCGGCTGTGATATGAGCACACAATACATAAGGATACAGTTGTTGCATGTATGTGTCAGGACATTTTTAGTTTTCCTCTACAATGCAATTTATTCCCGTGACTAGACGCTCTGACGAGGGGAAACAATAGTGTATCATACCCGAGCGAAGTGAACAGTTTCTCTAACTCTCACAAAATAAGTTTTGATGGTTGACCCATTTCACAGTTCTTATCGGCAACAAACTGTTCTTGTCATTGGTTAAAGTAAGTTTTAATACATAGAAAATAGTTACAAGTAAGTAATAAAAAGTCAGCAAACATATATTTCACTTAATTACGGTTGTCGGGATGTAAATCAAGGATACATAATACAATGGGGGATCAGTCAGTTTCTGGTTGAAGGAGGTTATTTAGCGCACACTGGCATTACTGCACTGGCATTACTGCGGAGTCTTAGCTCATTCTAAAAAGTAATGCAAATTAGATACGACTTTCAAAATATCTAAAAAAAAATTTTTTTCTAAAATAATAATACTTTAGTCGGCACTATGATAGAAGTACAATATGTTGCAAAGCTGACGGTGACATAGATTGAACACTTCGCTGACACCCAGGAGTACGGCTATGGTCCTGACAAACAAGGAATAAGTTGCTTGGTGTCTATATTTACACTAGCTTCGTTCGCTATAAATCAATTGTATTCTATTGCATCCATCTGTATGTATGTGTTGTGTGTGTGACGTCACAAGCAAATAACATCACGAATCTCTATGCCACTGAAGGTATGTATGTATGTGTGTGCGTGCGTGCGTGCGTGCGTGCGCGCGCGCGCCCGCGCGTGCATGCATATGTGTGGGTATGTATGTATGTGTGTGTGTGTGTGCGCGTGCGTGTGAATGCATATGTGTGCGTGTGTGTGTATGTGTGTGTGTGTTGTGTCTGTATGTGTGGTGTCACAATCAAATGGCATCACGAATATCTCTGCCACTGAAGGTGGAGATGCACTATTTTCACTGACATTGGTTGTTTCTGTTTACAAATTGAAAGGTCGAAAATTTTTTTTGGATGATATGTATTATCTCACTCCGTATCTTCTGAGCTCAAATATATCAAGACTAAATCGGCAAGCCTCGGATATTTGTAACTTTTATTAACTCGTCTTGATATATTTAATCTCGGAACACACTAGGGTGAGATTCTCTCATTAGAATATAGTGACAAATTATTTTCAGTCATGTCTACACAAACACACACACATCAGGAAACTCCTATCTAAACTTTTTGAGAACGTTAGTCAGCAGTGTATTCAGCGCACACACATTGCATCGATGTAAAGAACTTAAAAGAAGCCCATGCTGATCTCATTTTTATATTCATCGGAAAGTGATATGAAGTTATTTCTGACACGTTTGTAACGTCTACAATACTGTCAACTGTAAATAAACCACATTTTATTTTTTTAAATATCTGAATGTAAGAAACATACTTTTAAAACAAACGATTATAAGAGTTTTTTAAAAAGCAAATTAAAACTTCAAAAGAATATTGTTTGGCACATATATCACTTTTCTGGACGGAATAACTATTGAAAACATACCTAACGGAAAATAAGATATACCCGAACGATCATAAATTCGTAATGCGCAAAAGGCATGCACTGAAACAAATATATAGGTGAATAGTGAATGTACGCCGTTTCTTATTCAGTTGAATATCAATGACGAACTGATTGAACTTTTAAAAACAGACACATTTAAAAGTTATCTGAAAAATATCAAATGTCAAGTAATACTGCGCGATAAACTGTAAAGGAATGTATTAATCACATGCAGTTGAAAAACGTAAAATAAATAAAGGAATATCACAGACATAGAGATTCTTTGATATTTTAGCCGTAGGAAATATTCTCGTCAAGGAACTACACTAGCAACATATGGATCAAATGATAGTGCAAGATTTCGATTTTGGGTTTTCTGAGGAAGGGGTTTGTCGTGTAGGCACCCTGTCAGGGGCAGGGACAAGGGCCGTGGGAGCATCCTCATCCCTCTTTCGAGGCTGATAAGGACCTGCCTTTGCATTGCTTCTATTGTCAGCAGTTGAGGACTTCCTAGTTGATGAAGATGCGTTTCTGTCAGTTTCTACCAAAGCTGGCATATGGTTGTTAATTTCCTTGCCTGTCCATTTCTCTTGTACACTTTCGTCCTTGGAGAAGTTGATGTAGAGAAGCTGAGTGAACACCATGCTCATGGGACCGGAAGGAGGCCATGTTATCTTCTCCAGTTACAGAGGAACTATGGGCTTCTTCAGGGCATCAGCCAGACTGACCTCCCTCCGGCAGTTGGCAGACAGGGCATACTTGGTGGTTATAAAGCTGAGTATGATCTTGCAGCCTCGCACTCCCCGGTCGATCTTGTCATAGAGGGAATCCCCTCCTCCCATCTGGTGAATGTCCATCCAACAGGAGAAGCCGAGGCTGGTAAGACGTCGGTAGAGGAGCATGATCTGCTTCTGTTTGCCCCACTGGTAGGAGATGAACACGTCAGGGGACACTGCAGACACCTATGATGTAAACAAGGAGAGTGAAGCTGACATTCCACTGCTCAATCATATTATGAATTTCGCGAATGTTTAGTCATCGTTTGGGAAGCAAGAAAGAATCAAATGTTGAATATTATTACCTCTGCTGAGTCTGAAGACTTGAGTTGAGCTGTGTGTCCTTTGCTGTCGCCCTTTGTATTGTCTATCTTTATATCTTCAACAAATGGGACCCACCACTTCTTTTATGCTACAAGAAAAAGAAAGGTATGATCATTTGTCACCTAAAGTTTATGTGGTTTTACGATCATATGTGAAGTTTACACGACATACGGATTTTCCATTGGAAGAGAGGCCGGTCACATGACCGCGAAACTGACGTTCATAAGTTTCTGATCATTTAGACCCTTTAATCTTGAACTCAGCGTCCAATCCTAGTTAACAAAACGTAGAAATGCTCATCCATCGAATCGATCCGTGTCTAGACTGATAGTTACAGTCTACAGCAATCTATGAATAAACCTTAGTATCTATTTGACACGTCCTTATAATCACCTTTCAATGATCGGCCAACTGTTCAATGATGACTAACACATGTAACTGCCACAGGTTCAGTAACAACTTCGGAAATCTTTCCCGTCACGTTTATCGTGTCGGCCATTTGACGTTGAGGTACAAAC